AAAAGCAGTCTCAAAGCTGTCACACACAAATACAGAACTCCATATTTAATATAACAGAAGAATGCCAAATTCAGCACAATTATACAAATAAAAATAAACACTGTAAGAACATATTCTAAAAACTGCACAAAAAAGTACAACGGTCGGCCAAGTGATCAGAGTGCTGGACTAGATGGACCTGGGTCTGATCCAGCAAGCCTGCCCTTCTGCTGCCCCGCTTTCAAAATGCACACTTTTTTCCTCCCGGAGAGCCCGCCCGCCCTCAGCCCTTCTGTGATCACACTGGACTTTATGCTTGGAGTATGTGCAGAGACTCGCCTCCCTTGCAACACTGCCTTCAAGTGCAGCGCTTTATTTCCCCCCTACGTGAATGCATGGTACCCATTCACTTATATGGGAGAGAGTTAGAACGACACTGAGTTGGACAGCTCAGCCTGGCCCCTGGCCCAAGACGAGGGCTTAGGAAGCTTTGGTGGCATCCACTTTGGGACCTTGGCCACCACCCACCAGACTGTGACCCATAGAACAGTGGCAGAGAATGTGTCACTCACCCGATTTTGTTGGACTGCAGCTCCCCCACCCGCCCCACCCCCAGCACGGTCAATGGCCAGTGCTGATGGGACTTGGGGGCACAGCAGTACCTGTCAGCCCAACACTTCCCCATCCTTCCACTGAAATAAATGGGAGACACTGGGAATGGAGCCAGCCTCCTTCTGCATGCGTGACTCCTTGTTATCCACCTATACCTGGTTGGAGAGCTCTGCAAAGCAGTATGCACACACACACACGCACACACACACACACACACAGTAGCAAAAAGCCTGGCATGACGGCAGATGAGATGCATGCTTCGGAAAGCTTGCGGGCTGCAGCGATGCCAGGGAGAAGGGCACCTCTTGGTGCACACTGTGCAAGTATTACAGGCTGCTGCCGGATCCCTGCCACGGAGCATGAGCCACTCAGTGTTAGGGACAGAGGCTCTGTTTTTTCTGGCTGTTGCAGTTTCTCTCACAATGTACTTTTCTCCTTGGATGTGGATGGCAACTGTCTGAACCCAACAGGGTAGGGGGCTAAATCTCGGTGATGCCTGCCATGGAGAACCATGTCTGTTTCTCTCTGTAAAGAGTTGGTCCTGGGCTGCTCTTGGACATGCAGTGTGATGAGATAATGGAACATTGGCCTTTGAGATAAACAGATAACATGTCACAAATAAGTTGTGTACCTTTGGAGTGATGTCGTTCTAGAGTAAGTTTCTGGAATTTCCCCTGGAACTGGGAATTGGTTTCCTTTTCCAGTTCCAAAGCCTACAAGCAGACAACAAGAGCATCCCCTGGTGGATTTCTGAAATAACAATGCTAAGGAATTCTATGGCACAAAAGGAGAAATCTAGCAATAATGGATGGATTTATTACAACTGCAAGAAACCATAACAATTTCCAGGCAGCTTCACGTAAGATATAAGAGGAACATTTGTTAAGTAGTGAGAGAAGGCTATGGACTGCACAGATCATGAATCCCAAAATCCACAATCAGGTTTAACAGGACCAACCAATATTTGTAAAGTGGAGGGCAAGCTTTTGAGCTCTCCAGCTCTCTTCATGGGGCAAGATGTTCAAAGGGGGAGAGACAAGAGAAAATAAAAATGGACTTGATGTTGAAGTCATGCAATCTGCAGAGTCAGAACCTTGTGGCAGAATGAAGGAAGAATCACAGACTTAAGTGGGATAAGCTCTGCTAAATACTATGCAAGTTTCAGGGTTCACCTTTACAAATATAAGAATCTAAATTTCTCTTTTTTTTCCTCTGCCAACCAAGGAATTTGTGTAGTTTGCTAAAGGTTGGAGATAATTCTGAATATTAATCAGTTGAATTTTGCAGTGTGAAAAAATGATGAAACAGTCATTGACCTGTTTCTCATATAACAACAATACAGAGTATAAGCTGGGTATAAGAATAGGTTGTTGTTGAATTGTGGGTTGTTGTTCTGTATGAGCTCTGCACTATAGTTTAACCATGGGTTGAAAACAGAGAGTTCATAACCCAAGAAGAAACCATGGATTCCCTTCCTGAGTTGTTTGTGATTAACAGTCCATGGTGCAGGGGTTGCACATGATAACACACAATTTAATAACAATAAACCATGGGTTGACTTTGGGCTGCTTAACCCATGAACAAGCCACACTCACAGCCTATGAATGTACCATTCCTTGGTTGTTTCTGGAAACTGGAAGTGGCACGTGTACAGTGTCCATCCTTGCAATCCATGCTCTGCATTACGTGCAAATGGTCTCAGTGTATGTGTTTCTCCAAGCAATCCTCTGGGCAGCCTCAGAGTTGCATGATATCTGGTAGGCTGAACATAATGCAGTTCCTCCCAGTTTGCTGCTTTTCATATGTCTGGGACTGCCAGTGGCCATCAGCTCCAGTCAGCATGGCCAACGGTTAGGAATGATAGCAGCTGTAGTCCACAGCATCTGGCTGGAGCAGGCTGACCTAAACCTTTAAATCAACTCCTCCCCCTCCCCCCACTCTGTCTTCTGACCATGCAGATTACTTGACTTTCATCAGATCAACCTGTCCCCTCCTCTGCTCTTCCGCAATCCCAATCCCATTCTGCTTTTCACCTGACAGAGAGATCCAGAATCTGGGTTCACAGGGCACAACGACGCATTGTGAGTTGCTGTGTATGATGGGTCATCATGTCACACGGACCAGGACTGATTTAACAAGTCACCCCAACAACCCATGGGCTGTTGTAGACTTTTTGTACCCATGACAGACTGTCATGTTGTGCAAACTTGGGTAACCAAGTGCATTGTGGGTACAGAAAACTGGGTACTCAGTCCCTTGGCAGGAATAGCAGAACACCTTTGCTGCACTTGCCAAGCAGCTGCCAGGGAACAGCTAGTGCCAGATACCCAAAACCTACCAAGCAGGACTTGGGGGTGCTCAGCGCTGGCACCCCCACTCCTTGCTGTGATTGCAAGCCATTTTTAGCTCAGCACAGTATCCCCCTCCCCTTTAAACTGCCCCCCCCCCCACTCCAGGAGATCTGAACACTTAAAAGGGAGTGGATTATACTGCCAAGGGGGAGACAACTTCCCCTCCTTTATGGTACTTACTCTTTTTGCCCCCCCCATTTTCAGTGCTTTTGGATCGCTCCACTGGGTTCCTCCTTCCTCTTATTATTATTTCCCCCCTTTCCTTTGCAGCTGTTAGCCAACTGGCCAATGGGCAGCCTTGTCTTGGCAATTTCCCACTCCAGCTTTCTTGGATGGGCTCAACATTCATGCAACACTATACTTATTGAAGAGGCAAAAGTGAGCTCTTCAACATTTGCAAATGGATGGTGATGAGAATGATGATGCACATTTGCATAGTCCTGGAGTACTGAAAAAAATAATTTTGAAAAGGTGGTTGAACAGAGAGGGGTGGTATTCTGAATGGGGAAGTGGCTGCAACAAGGAGACAAGAGCAATTCTATTGTAAAGTCCCCTGGGATACGTGGCAGAGCCTGCTGGAGGACTAAAGGAGGAGGAGACCAACCTGCAGCAAGCCTGATCATCTGTCAGGAGAACCCATGGGGTATTCAGGGAACAACCCACCCACTGTGGCTTATTCACAGGGTGGCTTAGCCCAGGAATGAATTGGTAGCTTCAGCCTGAGTGGGCTCTCCACCCTGGATGGAGTTTGGAAATACTTAAGATCAACTCCCACTGCTTCTGGCCACAGCTTGGCAAAATTCTGTATAGAAATCCGTGTGTGTGTGTGTAAACTTGGAAACTTGTTTGTTAAGCAGAGTCTGTTTGAACCTGTGGGCTGTATTCCACCAACTTTGAATCATGGAGATCATGAAAGAATGCTTACCAATTTATGCATATTTGTCAGGTCTAATAAATGAGTTACCTGACTATTTATTTTTGATTTTTTTGGATCAGTGTAGTTTATTTTGCTTAAAAATGCTAAAGGATCCACAAATGACTTGAATATTCAGAGCACTTCAGAAGTCACCATTCCATGGGAGGGTGTGAGCCTATTTCATAATGATTACATTATAGAAACTGAGTCAGAAGGGGTCTCCCAGGCTATCTAGTCTGACCCCCGGCTCCAGCCAGCTCCGCTCATGACATGCCTACCATGTGCATGTCCAGCCTATCCTTGAACACCCGCACCGATGGGGCCTCAACCACCTCCCGTGGAAGCCCATTCCACACCCTCGTGGTCCTAACTGTCAGGAAGTACTTCCTACATCCAAATTGAACCTTGGTTCCTTATGTATAGGGCAGCATTTGGAAGGCCTTGCTGTGTGTGCATATACGGTTGTGTCCATATCTAATTTCCTTTAGGTGCAGTCCTATTCATGTTTAGACAGAAATGATGCAAGTTATCATACAGTCTGTCTATATATATAGCACTTTTTAATTGTCTATTTATTTATTAGATGTATAATAAAAATCTGGGGGGCATGCTGGAAGTTATTTTGACAGAAAAAACTTCCTATATGTGTATGATGATGTCCTTTATTTCTGTTCATCCCACAAAGAGCCCAGAGGAACGAACAACACAGTTCATGCAAATTCTATTAACCTCACATCGTTAAAAGTACAAATATACAATGCCTCGCAATAGAACCATCAGCAAAACAGACAGAGAAACAGAGAAATGCTTGCCTATGCGTGATAGAGGCAGAGGGCATGATAGCTCACACTTCAACAATAACAACAACACATGGTTCAGCATCAACCTACATTCAATTCAGCTGTTGATTGTGGGTTATTATGTTGTCTGAATCTCATCAGAGAGGAGTAGGGTCATCTAAGATGCCATGCGTTTCTTACTAGAGGAAAAATGCTGGCATCATCATCACCATCACATCAAAAAATAAAGCAAATCATATGCCATCCCTAAATTTGCACCTTGAATCTTGACCCTTGGTAATATATGGAACAATGTCTTCTTTTGGCAGGTATTGCTGAATATTCCAAAACCGGAACGCCAGCATGTCTCTGACCACTGCCCTCAAGGCTGTTCCCCACACACCTGGACTGGTCATCTGGAGGATTGAGGTGGGATAAATGCCTTCTTTCCAATGACAAGCTAAGCTTTCCCCTCTGGTCTCAAGCTGATGGTCACCCTGAGTTACTTGGTCGCTTGCTCAGTTTTAGGCACACCTGGAGCCTGCCCTGTAGGCCACTGCAATGACCTTTACAGGTGAACTAGTGCCATCTCTCTTTTTTAAAAAAATGTCTTTTTAAACAAAAGTCATTTCGAGCGACATGCCCACATTCAAAAGCAGGAGAATATTCCCATCACTGTAGTTCCTTACTGATGAAGTGTTTACTGAATCTCTGATTTTACAGAGCTATTTTGCTTGCTCTAGCAGTCTTGGCTGCTGCAATGTGCTTTACGTGGGGTTGCCTCTGAGGACAGTTCAGAAACCGCCACTATTCCAGAATGTAACTGCTTGAACCTTTGGATCATGTAACTTTGCCCTTATGAAAATGTCACTGATTGTGAGTCAGGTTCTGGGCTTAATACCAGGTGCTAGTTTTAACTTAGAGGTCTTGAGCCTGAGCCGCTTAAGGGAGCGTTGTATTTCCCTCACCAATGGCAAATCAAAATTGGAAATTAGGTCTTTCTACAAAGGCCACCATCAGAACTAGGACTGAGGTATATGAGGAACAGGACTTTTCCTGTTTGCTGAATTCCTTCCCTTGACTCACTAAGCTCTTGGGCTGTGGGCAGCTGCTGGTCACTTTTTAAAATGGTTATTCTTTCCTCTTCCGATTAGTGCTTAATGCATTAACATGGGCAACATGTTGTTTATTGCACTGCTCTTCTTAACTATGTTGAATCAGGTGTTGTTAGCAGCTTTGTGGATTGGAGAAAAGTAGAAAAGCAAGTTGGATTAATGGATGTACTTAAAAGGCTAAGGACTTCCACTAAGGGAAAGCAATGGGGAAACCCTACTGGGCTAATGTGAGTTACCTAGAGCAGGAGTGGACAGAAGGAAGATCTCCAGATGTTTTGGACCAACTCCCATAAGTTCCTGCTACCATGCTCAATGGTCAGGAACACTTTCAGTTGAAACCCTAAACTTCTGGAGAGCTGTTTTCTGCTCAGTCTGGACCCAAGGTAGGCAACCTACCTGATTCTTGGCAGAGTTTCACTGACTTCAAAAGTTCTCTGCAAGTGATCCATTCAGACCTCCAGCAAGAGCAAATGGCCCCTCTGTGCAGGGAGGAAGAGAAAGAAGGAGGACAAGGGGTTGGTGTGAGCCCTGCCCATCATCAGCAAGTTACCATTACCAGAAAAAAGAAACCCCACCCTAATGTAGATACTCAAAACTGGAACATTGCCAAGTAATGAGACTAGTTCTAAGTACACTTCCTCAAGAGTAAGGGTGCTTTCAGGCCAAGGACTCTTAGCTGTTCCTCTCAAGAGGCATTGTGCGGCACGTCCTCTTTATGTTGTGTTTGTGTAAAGAAAAAAGACAAAAACAGGAGGCAGACATGAGAGAATGACTTGTGGAAGGAATTGTCATCTGGGTTCCCTTCTGTGCATTGCCAGGACAACTGCCCAGTCAAAGTTTCATCTCAAGGCTCCCATTTTCACATTCAGTACATGGAAGCTTATTTCAGAATACACTTACATAGGAGAGTACAGTCCAGGCATGTTCACACAACCATTCAGCATCTCTTGCGTTTGACTCTTGCAATGAATTTGATGCTTTGGGGTTATGGCCGTCCAGCTTCATGATCCATCCACTCAGTGTGAAAGCTCAATTATTGCCAGTGGCATCACCGATCGATGCCTGAAATTCAGCGGTGAGGATCAGATCATGTGACTGATGGTTGTTCCATTTATTCTGGACACTGTTTTTTAGCTGTGCTTCTTCTTCCCAGAAAATGGATCTGGTGTTGGTGCCTCCAAAGGCTCATGGGAGCTTCTACGAAGGTGATTGCTACATTCTCCTTTCAGTAAGTGTCATGAAAGCTGCTGTCTCTATAGTGCTGGAGCTCTCTGCTAATGGATCCAACAGCTGCATGGTGTGGAAAAGGTGGCTTTGTTTTTTTAAATCCATGAAATGTATCACCACTGATGCTTGCTTAGGATGTTTTGCTAACTGTGAGCCATAAGTGGCATAGCAGGGATATTTTTATTGGCATTTATACCCCGAGGAACCCAAGAAGGATTTTGTTGCTGCATTTTATCTTTCAACAACAACTCTGCAAGCTGGATTTGGCTGGGAGTGAGTGACTGGCCCAAAGTCACCCAGTGAGCTTCATGGCCAAGGGGGAATTAGCACCCGGATCTCCCAGGTCCCCAGTCCAACCTAACCACCACACCACACAGGCTGTTGACCTTTTCGGGCATGTAGAAACATCTGGCAGTTTGGGAAACTGTCTTGGGTACCTCCACAAAATGGGTACGTTGCTGATTCAAAGGTATAACCCTGCAGCGACCCATGCACTTCATTTCCAGCGAAAGGCTCTGAGGTGAAGGGAGAGAGGGAGAGGTGCTTGCTGTCCAAGGATCCAGGCCCGCCCCCAGAGTAGCCTGCTGCAAGGACCTATTCCTCTGAAGACGTTGCTTGCCTCTCGGGTTGGCCTGGACTTGTTCAGGCTGAGCATCAGCAGAGCAGCTAGGACTGGTCCTCAGGCCCAGGGGGAAGGCTGCATAGCTCAGCCTGCTCCCCCACACAAACACCCAAAGCATGGAAGATGGGATAGAAGTGCTTTTCATAAATAAATTGTATTATCCTTTTCCACAGCTTCATTCCCAAGTGCAACATCCGGGCAGATGAAGCAAACTCCAGTGTATTCCCATAGCCAGCACACTGCTGTGGTTTAAGTGAATTAAAAGGGCAAAACTGCCGATGTTCAGAATTGTGTCTTCATTGTGGGTCAGATGCCGTATAGGAAGCCACAGCCTTCAGTTTGCAAGAGCTGAGCGAGGCTGTCAAGGACAGGGCATTTTGGAGCGGATTCCTTCATAGTGAGAGATGACTTGCTAGCACATTACAACAACGAACAGAGATTTGGTTTAGTGTTTGCCCCAAGAAGCTGCTTGTAAGCGCAGAAGGGCAGTGGTAGGTCAGAGGGGAGAAACGGTAGCAGCAGCTCCTCAGGATAACAACCAGAGCCTGCAGGAGAGAGTGCCTAATTCAGGAGACTCCAGTGTGGTAGCTGTGGACACTACTGTGCCCACAGACACCTCTCATTTTCCCCACCCTCTTAATTTCTGTTTTCATTTCTTAAGATGCATTCATTTTCTTTAATTGACCAGGAGGGTGGCATGCTGCAAAGCAAAGCACTGCCCTCCAGAGCCTTCTTGGTTTGCATTCAGAGAGTGGCTTTATGTTTTGGCGCTCAGACCACCGGCACCCCTCACACCTCTGCCTTGTACTTGGGTGCTTTCTTTTAGCCTATTCCATTTGCCTTCTGGAAAAGGAGTATTTTGTGGGCAGACACACCCACCATAGCTGTCATTTTATGAATGGGCAATCCCCTGTCTGTGGCAATCACTGGTGGGAATGCCCGCAACACTCTGAGGATTCCACACTCGCTATGGCAACCATTTTATGAATGAGCAAGCCTTTGTCAGAGTGCCCACACACTCTCGCAGCATTCCAAATGTGCCCAGCAACCCAAAAGGTTTGGGGGGCCCTGGATTAGTCCCTTTACCACTTTTAGAGATAGACACAATCTTCCAGTTTCCCTTTTTTCACATCAAGTTTTTGCTAGCACATCTACAAATATATCTGTGCATCCTAGCGTTTTATTGAAAGAAATTAAACAAAATTCGCATCCACCCCTAAACTATATGTCTCTCATCTAGGGCAGGTTGGAGCCCCCAGCATTAGCATCTCCTCCAGATGCAGTGTGGGTACAAACCATTCTAGCCAGACCTCTGGTCTATCCCAATGAAGGAGGGCAGAACCCCAGATCCAGGGCCCCATCCTTGCAGGTTCCCTAGAAAGCTATGCCCCTCTCCTCTGACTGCTGATTCTTTGGTGGATTCCTGGCTTTTGTGCACCTTTGCCTCCATCCTAAAAGCCTGATCTGCCTCTCCTAAGGCTGAACTGCTACTGGCAGGAAGAGTTTTAAGCTACAATACGCTTGTATATTTGGATCCACCTCTGGAACGCACCCTCCCATTGGTGTCCCTAATTTCTGGCTGAAAAGCAGTTGCATACACCCCACTGCATTAAGAGTGAGGTTTGGTTCCCAGGCTTCCCTTCTGGACGAAGATCCTCTAGCCAGGGGCTACCCTAGTGATGCAGTACGAAGGCGAGAGAACAGCTGGAGTGGAGAAGCTCCAGGAATACTAAGCTGGGAACAATCCAGATACTGAGATGAGTCCCTCGAGGGTCAACATTTGGAAGGGGACATGGGAGGCACAGGGCACCTCTCAGAGGCTTCATTGCAAGTGTTGACCCTTATGGCTCCCTTTGTTTCTCCCACAGACCCACAAATCAGGTGGCGCCCTGTCCCATGACATCCACTACTGGATTGGAAAATGTTCCTCGCAAGACGAGCAGGGCTGTGCTGCCATCTACACCACCCAGCTGGATGACTACCTGGGTGGGACCCCCGTGCAGCACCGTGAGGTGCAGGGCAATGAGTCGGAGCTCTTCAGGGGTTACTTCAAGCAAGGCATCATGTGAGTAGGAAGGAGGTCAAGGGCCTGACTTGTCCCAGAATGCAGCCTCGTGTTGATGGAACAAGCCCGGAGTCATAGATCACTGGACTAGGAAGAGTCTCATAGGCCACCTGCTCAGTGCAGGAAATCCAGTGTTGCACCACTCCAGTGAGGGAGAGTCCAACCACTCTCCCTGAGGTCCCTTGTCATACTTCTCTTGCCACCGAGATCTCTCTTAAATGTTCGATGTTGCATTAATTTAAGACAGAAGAAATCATTAGAGAAACACTTCATGATGCATCCATGATCGATGTCCTCTGAAGAAGCAAAGCCCCTGGGGAAACACATTGAGATTTTGCTTAAGATACCTGAGAATTCTCTCTCTCCTCTTTTGGGAGACACACACATGTCCTCGTGCAGTTTCCCAGTGTTCAGCTAAATTCTTCCTCCTCTGACTTAGGCCCATTTAATCTAGACCTACCCTTTGCCCTCTTTTGTGTGACAGGATGCTCAAAAATGTTGGTGGGAGCACTTCTATAGGCTCTGGACAATGCCTTGGGAGTGGGCGGTATAGGATAGTTCAGGGTCCCGGCTCAGAAGCTGGATGCAGTGGTCTGAGCCAAAGCAGTCCTCCTCGCAACCGAGGCAGAAGAAACTGCTCTGGCTGCTCCTGGAGGTCGGTAATGCAACCTTGAAGAGGCAAGGGGAGAGGGGGAGATTGGGGCACCCAGGGTGCAAAGGATCATGAGGCTGCTCCATCCTCCTCCTCTCCCCCTCCAAAAGACCATCACCAGGTGGCCAAAAATGACCAGATCTGGTGTCCAGCGCATCAAGAAGAAATTGCAAGAAGGGAGTGTATTTTAAGCAAGCTTGGGGTGGTTCGGTTTTAATGCATCGTAATAAATAATGCAAGATTATCAGCAGCTTCTGCTGGAGTGCCTTGGGCAGAGGTTTGTGTCTTTTAGCATGCTTGCATGTACGTCTCCTTAATGGTTTAAAAGTGTGCTTCCTTTATGGGGTCCTGGAGAACACAAGGGCTCTGAGGACTGCACATGGAGACGGTCACAAGAAACAGGCAGCTTGCCTCGACTTCCTATCTTCCATTGCACCTCACAGCTTCGGGGGAGTCCTAGGCATGTTTTTGGGCAGGCTTCCCAAGCTGGGTGCTCCCAATTGTACTGGGAGTACAATTCCCAGCATCCCCTAGCCACTACAGGGTGGGGCAAGCTGTTCTAGGGTCATTTGCAGGGCAATAGTGACGCTCTGTTCCCCTGGGCCTCTTCTGAAGTGTTAGATAATTCCCCAGAATCCCCGAGCGATAGTTTTTCGACATGTCATGCTGGAAAGCTGACCAAAACCAACCATGTTCCCCAGGTATAATGCTACTGTCTGAGGGGTACCACCCTCGCCTTCACTCCATAGCACCCTTGGGAGTCAGGTGCCCCTTTCCTTTTTGTTTCATTGTTCCTCACATGGGAAAAAGTGGTGGCCTCAAACGCGAGGCTTTTGAAACAAAGGTTCTTTGCATTTGCCAGCAACAAACAATACAATTAAATTTCCATGTCAGCATGAAGTGATCAAGGAAATAACTCTTTCCCAGCTGGTAACCAATGGAAACACAGCTCTGTTGTTTGTTTAGGCAATCACTCTTGCAAACTGGCTCAGCATCCCGACTTCTGACAGCCTTCTGACAGCGGCAGGGCCAGCCCCGTGACCTTTTGGTGCCGTAGGCAAAGGACGAGATGTTGGCCCCTCAGTCCCACATAGGGCAGCTGTTCGGTCTTACTTCAGCACCGGCAGGGCTGCAGCACAAGCTGTGTGCTTTGTTTTCCAAGAGGGGGAATGGCCCAGTAGCTCTGGGGGAACAACTGACCCCAGCACTTGAGTCCTGAAGCAGCTCCGTCCCTCTGCCCAATGGTTGGGCTGGCCCTGGGCAAGGCCAGCCAGACAGCTCAGAGATGGTTACAAGCAAGGCACAATGGTGAGCTGCCCATTCCTTGGAACTGGCTGTTTCCAGCATTATGTGGCAATCAGCTAACTGAACACATGCACAAAGGATCTTTTGGCACTGAAATCGGAGCGCTCAGGAACACTTGATTTCCCAAAAGGCTGAGGTTCAGTACGTTTCTAGGGTAAAGACTTAACACCTAGCTTGTTATCATTCAGGAATGGATTCCTTCCTTTTTTCAAGCTCTGCGTTTATTTTGACAGTCTAAAGATTCAAGCTGGCCCGAGCAAGATTACAAACCAGGCATGAATGTGTGCTTTCCCTTTTGTAGCTGCAACATTCACTGAATTACGAATGAGGGATTCAGTGGTGTTAGTGGTATTCTGAGAGGAGAGGGTGGCTGATTCAGGCAGCGGAAGTGCTTCTGGGGGTTTTCCTTTCCTCTCTTTTCGCAGAAACACATCAAAACACTTTTTCCCAGGCTCTTTGTTCACTCCTGGAATTCTTACCGGGTACACAGACTCTGTTTATGAGTCAAACTGGACCTTCCCATGTATGTGTTTGGGAATGCTCATTTAGGAAAACACCTTGCTATTCATTACCGCTTGGCCAAGTTTTCAACTGGATGAAGTCATTGACCCGTCTTAACCTTTTGTCTACTTGGTCCCTTGCCACTCCTAGGTAGACAGCCCTGGTTTGTGCAGTTTCGCAATCTCCTCTGCTAATGTTTGCACCCATGGATCAATGGTTACATTTTGTTCCCATGAACTAAGAAGTCCCATCCCAAACCCTTAAGACTTGTCCATTTTCATGCTCAGGCCTGTCATTTATGAGGCGTATATCCATGCATTGCCTTGGATCCTCTTCGAGTGAGCAAAATGAATGGCAATTTTTCATCCTGGTCTTTTCCTTCACCTGTTTGCACACAGATACTTGGCCCCAGGAGGAACTTCCTTTACCTTTGACAAGCAGTTGTTACACCACTGATCCCCTTTCCTTCTTGGCCACCACCCTGCTTCTCTGGCTCTGTCTAAACTTTCTACTTTTCCTTTGTGCCCTTGCTCAGGAATAAATGTGATCAGATCAGTTCTCACCTGACTAGGAATGCATGGATCAGGGCTGGCCAGGAGGGTGCTTGTGGGACTGGGTGGACCCCAGTCGGATTCAGCAGGGCTCCTCCTATGTTCTTACTGTTTTATGGTGAGCATACCTGTTGGGCTTCCAAGCGGGGGTGGTGGAGGCCCCATCAGTGAAGGTGATTGGACAACCACATTTTGGGGATTACATAAGCAGAGCTGGCTGGAGCCTGGGGTCAGACTAGATGGCCTGGGAGACCCTTCAGACTTGCTTTGTTTCTGTGCTTCTGTCTTGCCCTGCTGTGATCCGTTGTTTAATTTCTTGGTCCTACTCTTGTAAGCTACTTAAATCTAAGACAGTGGTGCCTCAGTAGTGCGTGTGCTGCCATGTCCTAGTGGATGGAGATGGATGTTTTCTAACTCTGGAGACCCATCTTATTTGGAGGAGGAACTTGCAGCGGTTGCTGCTTTGGTTGTAGCATCTCCCTGCTTATTTCAATAACAGGGCTCATCCTGCTTCTTGAATGTTCAAGCTACTTTTAATAATAAGTTAAAAGTGACACGTTTTGTGCTACTGGTTTGTTCATCTGCACAAACTGTGTTCTCGTTCAGCTACTTCGAGATCCATATAGTGGCGGCACTGCCTGGCTATAGTCTGAGTCTGTATAAATTGCCAACTAGACTTCTGGAGAGTCAGACTGAGACACGTCTAAGGCAGCCTGTACTTCAGCTGCTTGGGTGGAGAATGGGCCAGTTGGTCCATGCAGAACTCACCCATCTGTTCCGCTAATATCTCTATGGCTGGTTTTAGGACTCCCTTCCTCATAAAAGGAAGATTCCTCTGTGAATCATAGGGCAAAGCCCTGTCTTTCTTTCTCCATTGCACTACACATCTATACATTTTAAATCTGGGAGAGACGAGACATACTGTTCCCTCTTCCACTATTGAGCCATAAAAGCGTTCTTTCTTAAAATCCATTCCTTTCTTTACAACTGTGCATTGTGAAATTCTGGGATTGCTCAGTTGTCTGTCTTCTATTTTTCCCTGAAATTATTACTTTAGTGGTGAATGTGGTGTTTGCACAATAACCTTTGAGTCTCCAATTAGAAATCCCCAGTGATTTAAGCATCATATTGGGATGAGGCATACATTTGCACAAGGGCTGATGGTTATCTCTGCTGCATTTTGCAAAGCAATCTGGAAACGTACACCGTTGCGCTCTGCTTTCCATTTTGCTGCTGTGAGAGACTGGCCATGATGCCATTTTCTGAGCTTGCCTACTGAATGTAGAAAGAAAGACTGGGGTCAGGTTGAGCTAAAATGAAGCTTTGAGAAGGCCTTGCTTGTATGCTCCAAGGGCGTTTTGTTGGACTGGGTCACATTGCCAACTTTGGCCTGTATTTACTAGAACCATTTTGCCTTGTTGGCAAATTTCTCAATGAAGTTACAGAAACAAATCATAGTCCCTAATTATGCTCTGAGTGAATATATGTCCGGTGGGGCAAAGATTTTCGTGAGGACTTCAACTCCCTGTGCCTCAGGGGACCTCCCCTCCTCTAGGAAGTCCCCAAGTATTTAACTTCCTCTTGATCTGACTAATGCATTCTATCTATGGGCTTGAAAGCCAATTTCTTCATTGGTGGCTAAGACTTCTTTAGTGGATCCTTCTATTAATTCTTGACAGCCAGTGTGGTATAGTGGCTTTGAGCACAGGACTGAGACTCAGGTGATCTTAGTTCTAGCCCCCACTCAGCCATGGAAGCCACTGGGTGACATTAGCTCAGTCACCTCACAGGGTTGTTATTGAGAGGTTAAGCTTGATAGGAAGATGAGGAGAATTCTCTAAGCCTCCTTGAGTTCCTTGGAAGGAAAAAGGTGGGATATATATCTATATAATCAATCAATCAATCAATCAATCAATTCTTTTGTGGGGGAGTATATCAAAATGCCATTGCCTTAAGGCAAAATGTGACCTTGGAACTGGATTTTAACTTGCCCCACATGTGATTCATGTGATAACAGCAGATGTTGGGCAAGGAAGGAAAACCTTATGGCATATGGTTGAATGAGAAATGCTGCTCCCAGCAGGCGGAGGCAAATTTGTACCAACAGCCTGGGTGGCATAAGATACTGAAAAGTGTCTAAAACAGGGCTCCAAGAAACAGGCCTCTGCCACAGCAGCAGTTGTGATTTCATTGTCTTTGGCCAGCACGGCTCCGCCTGTGGGGTCACAGCGCTCAAGGCTCAATAATCAATGGTCATTTTGCAAGTCACACTGCCACTCTTTAGCACCAGCCAGAGGATGGCACTGTGTATTGATTGCGGTTGTGCTGCCACCCCCACTTGCCTAAGCGAGCTGTGGTAGTTTTAATTCCTTCTTCAGATGCATCTTTGCATCGCCTCGATGGGAGAAGGCCTTTCCTCTTCATAAGCACCCTGGCAACGGATCTTGCCACATTCTGCTTTGACACACACATTTGGAAGCTCCGGTGCCCTTGGATCCTCACTCCGCAGAGAAGCAGGTCGAGGCACTTCTTAGGCTGCGCTGCCTGGAGCTCCCATCTATTTGCCGCTGCAGCCCATTTGCTGGTCCTACTTTGAGTTGCCTTTCCTTCAAAAAAGACACTCCTGTGAAGCCCTTCTCTCCTTTATACACAGCATTTTCCATGGACCTTTTAGGTGGCCCACTTGCAAAGGGATATCTCGCCAGATTGGGAGGGGAGGGCTTTCCGGCTTGTCCCACTAACGTGTCCGTTAGAACCTCTTGCTGGATATACCCCATACGGACCCATGATATGGACAGAGCTCTGTTATCCACAGAAAGAGCAGCTGGTTCTCTTGACCGCCCTGTGCTAGGTGACACAAAGGGCCTGCCCCACCAATTAAGTTGCAGGGGCAAGAGAGGAGGAGCCTGTGGGAGTCAGGCACACCAGCTGTTCTGCGAACAAACGAACTTGTCCCGAATTGCCTTGGGCTTGCTCTGGGATGAGATTCTGAACTATAGTCATGGGTCTTAGGGCTTTGAGGGCTTGTCCCTTCTGTAACTCTGCCAGTGCATCAGGATCACAGGTGTGGGCTGTAAATTATTTTTATCTATGCTTCCTTCCATATTACATAGTTTCTGCCAAAGGTAATTCCTTAAGAGACTTACACTGGTTCTCTTAGAGGGATCCAAGAGTTTGTGCAGGGCTGGGGGCTATTATTTCCTATTCACTTTCTATTGTTTTCCCCAAATGCATGGCGGTTTTTGTTAGGTGATTGCTTACCTTAAAGGTAGGGGCATCCTGCCCACCTTTGAGAGGCAACTGTTGTTTGTATTAGGAGTAGCTTGCACTGGCTGCAGCTAGGAATGTTTAGGAGTAAGTTCCTAGAGGAGGCTCCCCTCCAAAAATTGGTTATTTGGCCCAAAACACTCAAGAAATCTTGCCAAGTCATGCCTTGAAGATCAGCACATCTCATACCTGATCTAGCATGGCTTAAGCCCTGCCTAAGTTGCATTCATAAAATTCTAGTCATTAAATTTTCTTTGATTAGGACTAGCATCAGACAAAACACCCAAAAGCCTTTTCCTTATTAAATATATTTAATAGGGTTCTGAAGGATCTTGCTTTTCTTAAAAGAATGGCGCTTGCAAACTTCATCCAGAATGAAAAGTGTTTGGATATGTTTTTCATCCATTCTTCTGTCCATCGCGACCCCATGGACAACATTCTGCCAGGCCTTTCTGTCCTCCACCATCCCCCAGAGTCCACTTAAGCATTAACAGCCTGCAAATTCGTCATATTTGCTCCTGACTCTAAACAGCAAAGTGACAGTGTCTGAGTTAAATCCATGGCATCTCCCGAAGGAAGAGATCGATGAACTCTTGCTCACCAAGAAATTGTTGTTGTTGTTGTTGATTACATTTTTATGCTGCCCATAGCTGAAGCTCTCTGGGTGGTTCTCAACATTAAGTCACCCATCCTGATTTCAACCAGGCCTGATTCTGCTTAGCTTCCAAGATGAGGCAGGATCAGGTACTTCAGGTAGGAAGAATGACAATATCCCCTCTGATCAGATGCTTTCAGATGCTCTGGTTGTCCCTGTTAATCACTGGCAGCCTGTCCATATTTTGTCCTTTGGGGATGCCATTAATATTTATTAAAATATATTCATATTTGCTAGTTAATATTAACCCTAAATATGAAAAATAGTGGAATTTTCATTCATTCATTCTTCTTTCCTGCAAGTGTCCCTAGAAGTTAAATTTGATTGGGGAATATGGAGGCATCTTGTCTCTAATGTGTACACCTGCCTTTTTATACATTGCAACCACTGAGCTGTTGGCAATACATTTTAGGCCAAATTATACACTCACATGCACACACAGAGTTTACCGAAACCACCTCCTTGGCTTTTAAATCAATGGAGAGAAGATGATAGCAAAGTACATAGAATAATTGAGGGAAAGGGGCTTTCATTGTGAATCTAAGAACCGGAGCGTTTGAAATTTTATGCTATCAGCTCTGCTTTACCCTTTGCCACCGCTAGATGGGGATAGAGCAGCAAGCTTCTATCAGGCTTAGTTTATAAGTGGAACCACATGAGATGTTCACAGAAGCCCTAATTGGATTTACTCTATGTGGGGCTAGGAATTGCTCCCCTGCTTCTTGCTTTAAGGAAATCGCAAGTGCTGATTTTCTGTGCAGCAGACTGATCTTTCAAGACCTGGTCTTTCCACTGGCTGCCTCAGCTTTCATTTTGTCATATCCCACACCTCAGCAACTTCCCATAGAGCTTTTCTGCACGAGGCCAGTAATCCGCTGCATCCACTTTCAGTTCCACTGCAGAACTGAGTTCTGAGCACAACACAAAGAGCTATTCCTTTCCTACTTTTCTGCAATATAATCTCTAGGCAGGGCCTGCCATGGGTTTGGGGAGTATTTGGCCCTGGCCTCCTACTCACAGGGGGATTCAGATTTCAATGTGCTGAAGCAGACCGAGAATTACTGCTGTTCAGCATTGGGACAAGATCATTTAAATGGCCTTGTGATGCTTCACAAGCCGTGATATTGCGAGAAAACCACATTTTTCCACAGTTACGGGTAAATTTGAACCACTTCGGCTAAATAAAGAAAACATTAGAAAAGCACTTGTTGAATAAAAAGGAAGGTTGATAACAAATTATCACATTGTGTTTTTCTGTTGAATGTGCTAATTTGCTAAATGTAAACATTTCAAATATAACAATTTTTATAACCTTTTGACATTTCTTCTTTTTTTAATATGTTGGGAGGGCCTCAAAAATGGAAGAGACCTGAGAATTTTCCAGTCTCTGAGAGGGCCAATCTGTAGGTGGCAGTGTAGTAAAGCAGAATAACACAAATATGCAACTAGAACAAGTGTTTTCTTTACCATTCATAAATTTGCTCTGCTCCTAAAAAAACCAAAACAAAAAAACCCACCCTTGTTGAAAGTGCTCTTTAAATGCAAAAGGAAAACTGGAGGGTCACAACATTGTATAAAGAACCCCATAAACAAATGTTTGTAGGGAATTTATGTATTTTATTTATTTATGGTATTTGTATACCACTCCATATCGAGACCGTTTGTGGAGTAGTGAACAGTAAAAAGCAAAAAAAGAATTAAATAATTTTAAAATATGATAAACAAATTAACATTAAAACCATGGTTGGTCAGCAAGAAATTCCACTTTGAAGAACAGAAGTCTCTCCAGTAGGCACCAAGAACAGTACAATGTTGGTGCCTGTTTGTCCTCCTGAGGCAAGAAATTCCTCAGAAATGAGGCCACCACATTGAAGGCTCTTCTCCTGGTAGGTCATCAGACCATGTGGAACCATCAGGAGAATGTCCTGTGATGACCTCCGGGACCAGGCAAGCTTGTAAGGGAGAAGATACCTTGGATATTCTGCTCCCACATTGTTTAAAGCCTTGTACACATGTACTAAAACTCTAACTTTAGCCTGGCCTGGTAGTGAACAGGCAGCCAGTGAAGGTCCTTCATCATGCTGAAGAGAGGCAGCTGCCTTTGACACTAGCTCTGGATTAGCCTGAAGGGCAGCCCCACTCAGAGCACATGGCAGTAATCCAGCCTGGAGGTTCCCAGCCTCCGGATCACTGTGGCCAAAGTATCCCCATCCAAGAGGAAAATGACAAGCACACAATAAACAGATCATGCCGTAAAGCCCATGGAGTCTCAAATTAATACTGCCATCCAATTAATGGTACCTTAAATTGCTTATTCATATGGATACCAGTTCGTTTAACAGTGCAATCTTATGTATGCTTACGCAGAAGTCAGTCCCAATTGCATCCAACGGTGCTCATTCTGAGGGAAAGTGAGTAGGGTTGTAGCCTAAATCTGCATAGGTTTATATATGAATAAAATAATAGATTTTAAGCAGCGAAAACATAGTTTTGCTTTAGATCAGCCTCCAACAGGTGCTCTGTTGTCCTATGTACCATCTCATCCCATGCACTTCTTCCATGGTTGCATCTGCCATTGTCTATTTTTTATCAATCCTTGTATTAAAAAAGTAATTAACTTTTTTTTAAGGAGTGCTCCGTTATTTGATGTGTGTGACCTTTTTTGGTTGATCAACAGATTCTCCTGCCTGATCAACCAGTCTAATGGATAATTGATTGAAGTCTGCTGCCCTAATTAGATGTACCAGAGTGCTGTCTGAACAAAATCCCTACCACTCTTTCCTGGTTTTCTTTATCAGAAAGTCCTAATGAATGTTTCCTAAGACTCGGTAGCGGATAGCTGTCCAGCGTGTCTAGCTCTCATGCCCCTTCCCTGCTTTCCTAACCCAAACAGCTACAAGAAAGGAGGTGTTGCATCTGGACTGAACCACGTGGAGACCAATTTCTACGATGTCAAGAGGCTGCTGCACATCAAGGGGAAGAGAAATGTCATGGCCACAGAGGTGAGCTGGAGCCTAGCGCTGTGCCCGGCCTTGATTCTAAAGGGGTCTTTTAGGCCAGGCCAAGCAGGACTTATTCTAACGTGCAATTGGACATATTTTTGTGCAGTTATAATAATACTAAAATGTGCAGTAGAAACAAACTTTCTATGAAATTGGGAATATAAACTTTCACCCTTTTATTGTTTTCCATTTGCAAAATATAGGAAGTGCTCACACATTAGGGATTGGGTGGCCTGCACCAGATTCCTCTGGAACTGAAAGCAGTGCTTAGACTAAACCATTTCAATGTGAATTTAAAGATTTGCACGTAGAGGTTGATTTAAAGGTACTCCTAGTAGTGCTGTCATCATCTTTACCCTGGGGTAACTTCAGGGTCCTTGATCTGGATTGGGATCCTAGTGTGTAGGGTAGGAGGGACTTAACTTTTCCCCTGCTGCAGCAGGCCCAATCCAGGTCGAGATGCTACACTTGCTACAAATAATGATATATCACGCAAAAGCAGTGCTTCCGCACGGTCCCAATCCACTCACTGTTTCTCCTTTTATGTCCGCTCCTGCTCTCTCACCCATAACACCTGCAGGTGGAGATGAGCTGGAAGAGCTTTAATACTGGTGACGTATTCCTGCTGGATCTTGGCAAAGTCATTGTGCAGTGGAATGGGCCAGAGAGCAACAAGCAGGAACGCTTAAAGGTACGGGCTCCATCAGGGATCAAAAGGGGTTCTCTACTTCCTTTAGGCAAGTGAGGGGGGCATGCGTGAGGGACTAACTATGCGTTATCTGAGAGCTCCTTCTTTGGAGCTTCTGATATCATTTGCTTGTCTATGAAAGGTCTGTTTCCCATTTTGCCATAGACCTGATCTTTTCCTTCAGGACTGGAGTAACTGCTTTTTTTTCTGCTACAACCTGCCCAGAGAGCCTTATGGCTAATGGAGTGGGTTAGAAATTCAATAAAATACATACATACATACATGCATAAATAACTTGCAGGCCTAGATCTTTAATTTGTAAGTGTTTTCTTCATGGAAGGGAATGAAAAGAGCGAGCAGGAAAAGGAGGGGTGAAGTATTCCCTTGTTGTAATTGGCTAAGCCATAATCATGAGGGTGATAATGATAGAAAACTAAGTATTTATATTTATTAATATGATTTGTACTCCAACTTTATACCAAGAAAACGACACTCATGGCAGCCACTGATAACAAAGAATAATATTAGAATTAAGTAAATGAAGACGTGGTGCTGTCATTATTCTTTCAAAAGCATGTGTTGATCAGATCCTGCAGACCAAATCTCAGAAGGTTAAAAAAGTTCTGAAATTTGTCAATGCTCACAAGTGGCATATATAGAGGTGTTGTGGCTCAGGCCAGAGCCCCTGCTTTGCACACAGAAAGTCCCAGGTATAATTCCCAGCATCTCCAGGGAGGGCTGGAAAAGCCCTGCCTGAACCCCTCGAGAGCCATTGCTGCCAATCCATGCTGACAATACTGGGCTGGATGGAATCATGGTAAATCAATACAAGACAGATTTCTGGGCTCCTCATGTTCTCCTTAGGCTATGCTTCTTGCCAAAGATATCCGTGACCGGGAGCGTGGGGGCCGGGCTAAGATTGGGATCGTGGAGGGTGATGAAGAAGAAGCCAGTCCAGATTTGATGAAGTTGCTGGAGAGTGAGCTTGGAGGGAAGCCACCTGAGATCAGACCGGCTGTCTCCGACGAGGTGGTGGATCAGCAGCAGAAGGCCAACATCTCACTCTATCGGTGCGTGCATCAGACTTTGCCCACTACACAAGGCTACTTGGTAGTTGTCACCAACACAGCAAAGCATTGATGGGGATGTGGTACTCATTTGTAGAATGGAAGGGAAGTCAGGTTGCTAGCTTTTGCTTTCAGAAATACTACTTGCCAGTACAGTTAGCAAAAGGGGGTGTCTGGAAAACTGCCGGCGGGACTTGGTGAGACAAAGACCACTCTAGTGTAGAATATGGCAGTGCTACCCACAATGCACCTCCTTGCTGAGTGTTGGGATGTCTCAGGGCCCAATGCTTACTCCTGGTTCAGTTTCCTTAGAAAGTGGTCACTGGAGATGTGCTGTTTCTGTGATGCAGGTAAGCCGTATTTACACATCTCAGCATGCTGAGCACAATAGGAAGCTTCACAGGCCTGTCCCGCAAAAGATCTCTAGGGGGAACCCTCAAACCCATCATAGCATGGGATTTCCTGCAGAAAGCAAAGACTGCCTCCCTTGGAGACCCCATTCCCATGGAGGCTGAGGTCCTGCTCAGCACACACACCTTGCTTCCTCTCCTTGTCTACTGAGCATGTCACCTGTGCCTTCTTGGGCCAACCTGGCTTCTGTTGAAGCAGACTTCCACATTGGCCAGCAGACATTTTAAGGGTTAGGAGAAACAGGGCTGGAAGAGATCTTCAGTCTCCTTGAGGTCAGAGGCATTGCACTGTATGGGATGTTTCGAGAAGAGGACAGGCTTGGTGTCAAAGAGGAACAAGCCTGTGGAGCCAGCGTGCCATGAGATGGGTTGGCAGCGGGACTCCCAGGCAGGTCATGGGCAGAACCAAGGTGGAATCTAGTCATTGATGGTAAACTCAAGCCAGAGCAAGCTTGGGTGGTCCATGGATGGATTCAGTAGCAAAACAATAATTTTTTTGGGGGGGGGGACCTCTGGAGTTTATTCAGTTTCCTGTCCCTTAATGCCAGTTACTTGGTAGATTGCAGTTTTATTGGTCAGGCGAGTTGTGATGGATTTTGAAGTGCGGGCTCTCAACATGACATTCCCCATAACTTTGCCCAGTAAGAGAGTGCAAAAATTGCAGACATTTGTGTTGATCTGTACCAACAAACCAGTCCTAGCAGTTTTCATCTCTATCAGGAGCAGGTCTTTTGTGCAGCTAAAGGATCTTAATTGCTTACTCAGGATCAAGCCATCCCAAAATACTTGGCATTGCAACCAGAATAGCTCACAACACGATATGGTCCCTAGGAAAACCAATTTTCCCTGCAGCTACAGTGAGGATTGCAGCCAAGTCCAGAAGGAAGTGGAAGTGGGGGGCAGGTGGGGGGCAGGTGACATTGGTGGACCCTCATGAGAAAGAGGCCGTGCTGCACTCCTGCAAGCCCTGGCTCCATGATGCCACCTCAGACCACTAGCCTAATGGCCAGCTGGCAACTTTAACCCACACATCATCTAGTCCAACCTTCCCCTGCAAGGCAAGATTATACAGCCTCTGGGCCTTCAAGTATTAGCCCACCCAATGCAGACAACAAGGGACAACAGACAGAAACAAGTAGCTGAGTTGCCAGCCCAGGAAATAACTCCGATGACTCAAGGAGATGACTGATGCTTCCCCAGTGGTGAGTCTTCAGGTGGATTCACACATGAATGTACAGTTCTTTGGTGGAGTAATCAATCCATGGGTGGTAGTTTGATTTATGATGGCCGATTCGCACACATGTACTGCCACTTATTATTGCTGTTACTGAGTGATGAATATGTCTCTGTGTGATCTCCTAAGGAAGGAAAGACACGTGGGGGAAAGTGAAGTGTTAAAAATGGGAGGTAATTCTAGGAGAAACATTAGGGTACCCTTCCCAAGCCTGGTGCTGGTGTTGTACTACAGCACCCATCACCCCCAGTTATGTTAGCAAGGGATGATGGAGGCAGTGGTCAAACGCCTCTGGTTGGCATCAGGTTGGAGGAGGCAGTTTTAGGGAATTCTACCATTCCCCACTACCACCATCAGATGCAAAGGCAGCAAAACAAACAGGCCCCCGTCTTCCTTTCTCCTAGTGTCTCCGACTCAGAAGGGAAGATGCAGGTTACGGAAGAAGCCAGGCGGCCCCTCCTGCAGGAGATGCTGAGCCAGGACGTAAGTGGAGATGAGGAAGATACAGCCACTCCCAGGGACTCTTTGAAGTTGGTGTTTGACAGGACCTCCTAACTGCAATACAGAAATAATTTACCTTGACATAGCCTGGGCAATAACTACCAAATTGCTGTCTTGGGTTCTTGGTCTGAGTGCAAAACTAATTATTGTAGTAATGATAATCCTAATAAGTACTTATTGTGGCCTTTGGCTCCTAGTTTAATACAGTTCTTTCTCAATATTGACCAGAATCCTTAGAACTCACTGAGTGTGTTTCCTGATGAAGTTTTTACTGGGAAATGGCTTCGGCTGATTCTGGGAATGTTACAAGGAGCCCAGATGCCAACTTGAATTGATAGCCCTCCTGTTTTTCCAGCTACTTTTTTTCCTTACTGGGAAAAACAATACTCTTAAGGAGGTAAAGAGCTGAAGAAACCTTTGGTCTAGCAGCTCCATGAACTGTCCATCTAAAAGCATGGCAGCATATGCCATGATGCCAGTTTTGGCACATGGCTTCAGAGATGGGGCAATGCACATTTCTGTGTGACAGGCTTAGGCATTCCCTCTCTGCAGGGAAATCTGAGAAATGTTATTCTCTGATAGTTCCCTGCACCTTGTAACTGTGATTCCAAGGATTCTTTGTGGGAAGCTGTGGCAATTAAGGGTGCAAGCCTATGCAGGTTTGGACAAGAAAATGTCCCACAACTCCCCAGCATGCTGAAGATTGTAGGAATTTTTTTCTGCCTAAACCTGCATAGGATTACATCCTGGCAAAAAAACTAATGTATGAGTTTTCCTTCACTACAGTTTAGTTGAGGCACTGCTTCTACTTGGAAGTGGAATTAAAACAGTGTCTCCACAAAGTGCCTAATATCCTGTTAAATGGTCTAGTGGTGTCTTCCTTGAGCCAAGCTGCTTATCTAGTAAGTTAGATTGTCATGTGGAAATACCATGTGTGTTTATCCTAGTTTTCCCATATGGGTTGAACGGTGGCAGTGAGAGTCTATGAAAAGTGGCACATGGGTGGACCTGACAGCAATCATGTATCATAGGCCAGAACTGGTTCACCACCTGTCAGTTGCTGACCATGGTCATGAGCATACAATTAACCCTTTCCCCAAGAATTTTATGTCACTTCAAGTATTTTTTCTATAAACAGGCCTACCTTTTGGCTTCCTCCTGTCAATTTAGGCATGCGGGAGGAGGTGCGAGTGAGAAATCAAGGATTTCTACTTTTTACCCATTTCTCACAAAAATGTGCTGTGAACCAAACAGAAGTCATGGGGTCTTAATCAACTTCTTTTGTGGCTCAGGACTGCTACATTTTGGATCATGGTGGAATGAAAATCTATGTCTGGAAAGGAAGAGGAGCCACTAAGACGGAGAAGCAAACTGCCATGTCTAAGGCCCTGGTATGGCATGAGGGAACTCCTGAATTACTTCTTCCCAATTCTTCTTTTAAAATCAGTTATAGATAATCTTGTGGAATTCTATGACAAAGTTTCAAGGTGGATGTGGTTTACCTGGATTTCAGCAAGGCCTTTGACAAAGTACCACATGATATCCTGGTTGAGAAATTGAGGAGTTTTGGGATAGACCGATGCACTGTCTGATGGATTAGGGCATGGTTGATGAACTGAAAACAGAGAGTAACTATTAATGGGGAATCATTGAGTTGGAGCCAGTGACGAGCGGGGTCCCCCAGGGATCTGTCCTCAGACTGATCCTGTTCAATCTTTTTATCAATGACATGGAAGAGGGGGTGACCAGTCTGCTGATCAGATTCGCAGATGATACTAAAATGGGGGCGATGGCAGGTACTCCAGATCCAGAAGGATCTGGACAGACTATGGAAGTGGGCAGGGGATAACAGGATGGCATTCAATGTGGATAAGTGCAAGGTCTTGCACTGGGGGCATAGGAATGGGTGTCATAAGTACAGGTTAGGAGACAAATGGCTGGAGAGCAGCACTTGTGAAAGGGATCTCGGGGTACTGGCCGACAGCAGGCTAAACTTGAGTCAGCAGTGTGATGTGCTGGCCAAGAGGGCAAACACCACGCTTGGTTGAATAGCCAGAAGCATGACTTCTAGACTGAGAGAGGTATTACTGCCACTCTATATGACTCTGGTACCCCTGCAACTGGAATATTGTGTTCAGTTCTGGGGTCCACATTACAGGAAGGATATAGCCAGGTTGGAATCGGTGCAGCATCAGGCCACAAGGATGGTGGCTGGATTGCAGGGAAAGCCAGGAGCTAGGTCTTTCAGCCTGGAGAAGAGGAGACTCTGAGGGGACGTGTTGGCAACATATAGGTATGTGAGGGGTGCCACACAGAGGTGGGTAAAGACCTGTTTTCCCTGGCAGAGGAGGGCAGGACATGTTCCAATGGAGCAAAGCTCAGGGATCCAAGGTTCAATTTGGATGCGAGGAAGTACTTCCTGCAGTTAGGCCCCCTAAGAGTATGGAATGGGCTTCCACAAGAGGTCATTGAAGCTCCATTGATGAGGGTGTTCAAGGACAGGCTGGACATGCACATGGTAGGCATGTCGTGAGCGGAACTGGCTGGAGCCGGGGGTCAGACTAGATGGCCCGGGAGACCCCTTCTGACCACTCTGTTTCTATGTTTCAATAGCCAAGGGGTGGAAATGCAAAATAAATATAATTAAATCAAAGATTATTATTAGTAACACTTATGATGATTTGGACCAATTCAGTACATTCCTATCATCATCATCATCATCATCATCATCATCATCACATTTTGTTTATAGCCCACCTTTTTTCTTCTTGCAAGGAACTCAGGACTGCCTGTGTAGCCCCACCTCTCTCATTTTATCCTCACAACAACCCTGTGAGGTAGGTTAAGATTAGAGTCAGCGAAAGGGCCAAAGTCACCCAATAAGCTTCAAGACTGAGTGAGGATTAGAACCTGCATGCCCCGGCTTGCTGGCCAACACTCTAACCACTATGTCGCAATGTCTCAATTTACCCATCTCATTTGGTATGTTTCTCTGTAAGTCACAGTGCTGATCGGAGCCAGCTCAGAACATTTTGTTGCATGAGATGGAGCTGCACAGAGTGCTCCTGCTATTCGTCACCCTGCCCTGCTGCCTTCCCATGTCTCCCATCTCAATCTGCCTAACGGCGGACCTGGCCATGTCACCCTATTTAGTCTTTGGGATAGATACCTTTGAAAACAACACTTTTCCTAGTCCGTACACATGTGCAGTCAGGTGCGCCAGCTGCTATTCCACTCCCCTCTGCCCCACCAGGCTTTGCTTCCTGCAGTTGCCATTCAGCCAGAGAAAACACGGCGGGCGTGTTGTTATCAGTGTTCCTGCTTCCGAGCCAGTTGGCAGAAATGGAACCGACCAAGGCCAGGACTTCTGCCCTGCTCAGCGTTTTCTTTTATAAAGAATCACTCTACCGTACAGCTCAGGTGAATGGACAGTTTTTACACATGGCCGCTCTCCGGGCCTGCCAAAAATTCCTCTGCTCTGTCCTCAAATCCGCTCTGCTCCCTGACCCAGACGGCTGTGTGCCCAGGCCTGGGCTCCTGATTCCTTGCATTTACCGCACACACACAGAGCTACCACCAATTCCCCCCGCCCCGCCCTGTTGGCAATCCTATTGCTTACCAATTTCTTAAACATTGCTGGATGCATTTGAATTGCTCCTATCTCATAATAAGCACAACCAGATCCAGTGAAAATAAAGTTTGGTTTTATTCTGTTTTGAACTTTTAAAAATTTTGCATTGTTTTATCATGTATTATTTTATGGTTTCAGTTTTTGTGAATTGCTCAGAAAGCTATAGTTATTGGACGATACATATATGTAATAAATATTGACCATTGCATTAAACAAGCTTTTTTTAAAAAAGAAAGGGCCACTGACAGTTTATTCTATTGCCCTTCTCCAGAAGGTGGAATAGGACAGGCTATTACCGAGTGAATAAATGCATTCAAGTGCTGGCAGAGAAGAATATTCAGCAAATGTAAGAGATGTGCAGTTGGGGATGGGGAGGACAGTGGTCTGGTGTGCGCATAGAAATGTTAAGTACCAAATACTTAAGTAGCTAATGACTGAGCACCAAGAAGTATTAAGTACCCAAGTATTAAGATAATAAAAATATTAGGGTGCAGTCCTATGCATTTTAGGCATAAAAAGGTCCCCCAGCTACCAGCATTCCCCAGCCAACATAGCTGGCTGAGGGATGCTTGGAAGTTGGAGGAGTTTTTCTTTCTAAGTGTACCTTTAAGTACTTAAGTTAGAAAGTGTGCAATTTTATTTCCCTGCTCTCATCATTCAGACTAAATTCTGCTGCGATCCAAACAATTCCATTTTGATGGGTATGTAGGTACAGCTAATGCTACACAGGAAACCTATGGGACAACCAGAAAAGGATTCATGGGCCATTCTTGGCTAGTCTTATGGCAGCTGCTTGTTCCCTTCAGGAATTCCTTAAGATGAAAGGCTACCCTTACAGCACCAACGTGGAGACGGTGCATGATGGAGCAGAGTCAGCCATGTTCAAGCAACTCTTCCAGAAATGGACAGTCCAAGACCAGACAGTGGGGCTGGGAAAAGCTTACCACCTTGGCAAAGTTGGTAAGGAAAATCCTCCTTTTTCCTGGTGTGACTTTGGTGAAGGACTAAAAGAGAATGGTCCATGCTCTGGGACTAGATTTTTTTCCTGCTGTTGGGTCTTGTTCTGTGACATAAACATAAACAATGCTTTATGTAATCTTCAAATCTGCAGGTTAACCTCAGCAGAGCAAAATATACTTTCTAGCTTGCTTTCTTTTTCTTCTAGAACAAGTTTGTTGTAGTGGTGTTGGTGGTTCTGGTTATAATTGTGAGATCTCTGGCCATGGTGCTTTACAAAGAACAGTCTGCCAATTGCCTGCTCCAGAGGGCTTGCAATCTAAAATAACACCTAGCAGAGGAAAACCTTGGCAATGTCTCCCTGCCTTCACATTCGAAAAGTCACTAATACAGCCTCTAAATAATGGGACCTAAACAAAGTCTGTGTACCAGTAGGCTGCAGAATTTGTACATCAATTGTATGCAGAATGTATGAATATACCTTGAATGTAGCTTGAATGTAGCTAATGCAATGTTATTACTTGCTGGCACATTTCTTAAGCAGTGAGATGTTTCAGTTTTTGCCTGTAATCCTCTGACAGTAAGTTCCACCCAGAGGCCTCCTTTTTGAATTGAAATTTGTGGGTTGTGCTGTTAGGTCCCTTTGGACAATCGTGCACTGGGGGACGGGGGGAGGGGTGTTATAGTTTTTTTTGGTAGTATTTGTTTTATATTACAAACATGCCTATTAGGCTAGTTATGTTTTACCAGTATGGAAGCAGAGCAGAATTCTGGTGTCTACACTGGAAGTAGACAGAAACAAATATGCAGACAGTGGGAGCAAATGGGCACTGCTACTGCAGCAGACACTGCTGCCACACATCTTGCACCAGGCCATCCCAAACAGGACTATCCCAAGGTTGCTTCAGCTCCGGCCATTCTATAGCTCTGTCTACCTCTCTGCCCATTCAGAGGATAAACGGTTTCCTAAACTCTTAGCATGCTATCAGAGTAACAAAAGACTTCCAGATAATGCTTAATCCATGGATCCCCAAACTTCATTTTGCCTTCCAAGGTTTAAGTTAAACTCTCAGCTTGGCTGCTTTGCACATCATGAGCGGTCATGGCCGAGGAATTTCCTTGCAGGGCTTCTTGTCTTAGTGTTGTGTGCCAGTTTGAATATTCACATGCTGTGAATATGCTGTGCCAGAGCCTCTTACTCAGGAACCTGGTTGGGGTGATTGACAAACCGGCCACAACCCTAAAACAGCCCATAGGTTGGGTGGCGTGTCAACCACCCCAACAAGCCACCCTTGCTGGGTTTGCATGTAGCAAGAAGCTAAGATGTCCTTCTGCCAGAACTTAAACATTTAGAATGATGCATTGAGGATCCCTGGGTGTAACAAGAAGCTCACCTATGCTGGGTTCTTGTTACAAGAGGGTTACAGTAATTTTCTTTCCCGAACTGTAACCCACCCTATCTCCATGCCTTGCCCTTTATTCCACTCATATGGCTAATTCTAATTGGCCTTCTGCCTCTAACTTGTCATGGTTCAGGTCTACAGCACCTTTATGTTTTCAGCAGTCATGGTCCAGCTGCTGTGTGTGTGTGTGTGTGTGTGTGTGTGTGTGTGTGTGTGTATGTATTTTGTGGCCTTCTGACAACCCTTACACCTTGCTCCCTCCCCATGGGAATGGGCACTTCACTTTACAAAATCTTGCTCTAACTGATGCCAGCAGCTCCCTCCTTACCCTTTGATGGATGTCTCCTTTCCAGCTAAGGTCAGCCAGGAGAAATTTGATGCTACCCTCTTGCATGGCCAGCCGGAGCTGGCAGCCCAGGAGAGGATGGTGGATAATGGAACTGGGAAAGTTGAGGTAAGCACTACAAGTCCCAGCCCCAGCCTGGATACTGGATCCCCTGGTGGCTATCTAGTGTACCACATGCCATTGTTCTCCATGTTTATGCCTCCAAAGGCCTGTGATATCATCCAATGGTAACTGACTGTCCTGCTCAGATATCTCGTGAAGTTGTGCTCCCAGTGGCTGCCATCAGCTTGGCTGCTCCGAGGTCACAGCAAGACAGGCTGGGCAGCCAAAGGCTCAGCAACTATGGGGGGACCTGCCGAGCCTCCAAAGCCACAATCATTAGCTAGCTGTGACTTGCTGTTTCTGAGCGTGTTTAGCAACAACTACACCGCTTCTACTGTATTGCCTATGTACACCCAAGTTTCTGCAAAAATGTTCCTAGAAACAAATATTTTAGGGAGAGATTTTTAAAATTTTATTTATCTGTTACTCAGATGTAGATATTGCTGCCAAAATGATGAACATACAATATAATAACATCAAAACAACAGTAGAATATAATAGGGCAACGTACACTTGAATGCACACAAACAGGCAGACACAAAACTGCAGCGGTCTCCTCTGTGCTACAAACTATAGCTGGCTGGCTCAGATTTCCAGGAAAGCTTGTATGAAGAGGTGCATTTCAAGAAGACACCTATGCATTATACCTGCGAGTGCTGCCCTGCAGTCTTTAGGTAAAGGGTTGGAGCTGCAATGCTTAAATGCTCTAGTGCAGGGGTCTCAAACTCGCAGCCTGTGGGCCAATTGCTGGGACAGGGCATGGGGGAGGGGCCCTGCGGCCTTCAAAGCGCCAGCGGCACCCGGGCCGGCTTCCGGGAGCGACGCAGGATGAGCGGCCCACCACCCTCGCGGTGGTGGGATACTCGATGCGGCCCAGCCTCACCCAGACTCTACTTCCAGCAGCCCCCAGGTCAGTTGAGTTTGAGACCCCTGCTCTAGTGCAAGGGATCCCTGGTCAAACTTGAGGAGCATGTGGCATCCTCAGAAGGGCTCTCTCTGATGATCACAGGCCGAGATCTTCAGGGTGAGGTGATCCCTAAGATGACATCATCCCCAAGTTGCTTAGCAGCAGCACCAGGAGCTTGGCCTGGTAGTTTACTGGCAGCCAAGGCAGTTCTTTTGGCCACGGTGCAGCTTGCTGTGCAAAGGAGGCTTCGGGTAGTCGCCCCGCCACTGGATTCTGCAGCAGCTGCAGCTTCTGGACCAAAGCCAAGGTAGCTCCACACAGATGGCATTACAGTAATCCAGCCTTGAGGTGACTGATGCCCAAACTAGTGGCAGGGGGTGCTTAACTTTCCTCCCGCATGAATCCTCCTTTGTTAGGGATTTTGCTTCCCAGTCAAGCTTTGAAACCAGCTGTGAGCTCCTCTGAGGGTGTTCTCAGGGGAGAATCCATGAGTGCAGGAGTCTTGCCCACCTGCCTCTTCCACCCTGCCCAGTATGACTTCACCCCAGCAGCCATGGAATTTGGACTACACATTTGCTTATTTAGCTCCACCTCCGTCTTTGTCATCTCCAGGTTTGGAGGGTCGAGAACCTGGAGCTGGTGCCAGTGGAGACTCAGTGGCATGGATTCTTCTATGGGGGAGATTGCTATTTAGTGCTGTACACCTATGAGGTGACCAGGAAGCCCTGCTACATCTTGTACATCTGGCAGGTGAGTGCTGCGACTCCGGTGGGGCACGGCTGGCTTTGGGTTCTGCTGAGTTCCCTTAGCAACTGACTTCAGAGCCCTTTTGTGCCGCTGCCAACAGTTCCTCTTCATGGCCCATGAGGCAGCCTTCCGTAACTTGGCACTCTCAAGATCTGTTGAAGAACAGGTCCCATCATCCTCAGCTGGCAGGTTGACTGGGTATTGTAGAAGTTATTATCCAACACTGCTGGAATGCACCAGATTGGGGAAGGTGGGTAATACTGAGGACCCCAAGACAAACTTGTGAATACCAAATCTTTAACAGTCTTCCAGTCCAAGTTTCCCTTACTGCTCAGGCTTTGAACATGCTGAAATGAGATAGGCAGTCGAAAAAGAGTGTGCCCTGCCTAATTACAATCAATGTCTGCATTGCATTTTAGTATAATAAATCAGGTTTTTCTCCTCTCTGTATCTATGAAGCTGCACTGTATTTATAACCCGCTTTTTTTCCTCCTGCAAAGGAACTCAAGGTGGTTTACATAATCCTCCTCTCCTTTTTATCCTTATAACAACCCCTTCGTGTTTCTTTCAGAAAGAGAATCGGGAAGGTAGTCATGGCTCACTTAAGGCAGTGGTTTTGCTCTTATTAGGACTAAACCTGAGTTCAGCTCTATATTCAGCTGCCATTTGTCCCAAATTTTAGATACCATTATGGAGGCTGGTGCTTATAGCATCTGAATCCGGCCTTCCCTCCAAGTTTAGGATGCCTCTCATGGGTTTGAGCCATGTTATCCTCATGATGACAGTCTGTAAAGGTAAATTACACTGAGAGGGGAGGATTTGTCCAGAGTCGCCCAGTGAGCTTCCCGGCCATCCACCACAAGGACAGAACTGCCATCCAGACTAAACTATTGGTCCTCACTCAGTCCGGATGAACACGCCCACAGCAAGGGCAGTGGACTTCACCTCCCAGGGGCAGGATGCCAGATCCTGTGCTAATTCCCCTGTGCCGCAGGGACGCCGTGCCTCAGTGGATGAGTTGGCCGCCTCAGCATACCATGCCGTGGAGGTGGACGAGCAGCTCGGCGGGGAGCCCGTGCAGGTCCGGGTCAGCATGGGCAAGGAGCCACACCACTTCCTGGCCATCTTCAAAGGCAAGCTCGTCATCTTTGAGGTAGGAAGCAGGACAGAGTGTTTTTATTTATTAGTTATTTATTGGTTTGTTTAATTTGTTTAAAGGGTGGGCCTTACAATAAAAGAGCAGAGTAGCACAATGGGGAACCTCAAACTTAATTTAAAATAAAAGATTAAGCTTTTAGTATTTATCAATAAATACAGTAAATTTCCCGGCCATCAGGGTTGTCTGTTAGGGAAATGATATGTTCTTACTGAGTGAAACATTACAAGGTTGTGACAAGGTATAGCTGGTTTCTGTAGGAAAATACCAGAAAGTCAAAGAGGCTGATTTGTTCATGGTCACGGTTAGTATATCTACAGTATACATTTATATTTGTTTTATACCAGCTTAATGGTTATAGTTTCCCTCCAAAGAATCATGGTTATTGTAATTTGGGTGGGGATGCTGAGAACAGGGGGAGTCAGGTGACCTCGTTAAGAAGGACAGATGTCTGTTGGAAGACACTCTGGATCTGAAGTCCATGTTAAAAAGAAGAAACCCTAAGGAGGGAGGAGACCTAAAGCAACATCAGAAACAAACTGAGGAAGGAAAATTAGTAATGAAGACTGGAAAATATGTGCGATAAAGAGGATATTAAAATGTGTGTCAGTAAGACTAAAGGAACAGTTTTATAAACGAGTACAGAAATGGTACCCAAGTCTGGTAAAATTCAATCATATGGACTGCAAATATTCTAACTTACATTGGAGCTGTGGTTGGGCAGTGGGTACATATTTCCATACATGGTGGGAATATGAATATATATTGAAATGTTGGAAAGAGGTTTTTAAGGAAAGTAGTAAAATATTGAGTTTAAATATCAAAGTAAACCCTGGAATTGCATTATTTCCAATATCTGATAGAGAACAATGAAGATGGAATATTAAAAAATTACTAACACATTTATTTACAACTGTAAGATTAATCATAGCAAAGAATTGGAAAATAAAACATGATTATTAATTGAGTGGTGCAGAGAAGTTTGGAATATAGCAATTAATGATAAATTAACATGATATTAAAATGAAGAAGGCTGTATAAATAAGAATAATTTTGATGATATTTGAGGACCATTTACTGATTCATTGCAATACTGGAAGGGGGATGGAGCTTCCTGAAAGCGCAAATGATTTAGCATGTATGCAGTGGTCCCATGTTATAGTATCACTTTAACTGCATGTTTTTCTTTTAGTTGTATATTTTTGGCAAACATTTAATAAAATTAAGTAAAAAAGAAGAAGGGAGGAGACCTTCAAGGGAGGGGCTTTGAAGGTGTCCATCCCCATGTAGAAACTGAACAGGTTTGCCCCCCACTTTACCAGAGTCTTGCCCACAATGAACACATGGAGTTCATTGCTCCTCCGTGTATCTATCCACTTACACACATGAATTAGCACATGCATTCTATGCAATTCTGTGTCCCCTTCTGCCCTCTTTCCCTGGTGATGCACTTCCCCTTCTTTTATCAACATGCAGTGGACCACCGTGGCTGTTAGGTGTCCCCGGCTCCTCTCATAGGAATAGCTAGCTCATCCCGAAAGTGCTTGGCCTGTCCATAGCTGAAAAGGGACAGGCTGCGGCTCTTTCCTCACCTGCTTCGTTCCTGGTACAGATGGATTCTGGGAGACCTCCATCCCATGGCACCTGCAAGATGGCGTTTCTTCAGTTGCAGCAGGTCCGCAGTGATGCTGGTTTGCTCTGCCCTTCTGTCATGTTCTCTGCAGGGTGGGACATCCCGGAAAGGTAGCTGTGAAGCAGAGCCCCTGGTGAGGCTCTTCCAGATCCGTGGAACAGATTGCTCCAACACGAAAGCGGTGGAGGTGATGGCAGTGGCTGCATCTCTAAATTCCAATGATGTCTTCTTGCTCAAGGCCCAGGCAGATCATTACCTGTGGTATGGCAAGGTGAGGGGCTAGGAAACAGGCCTCCGAGGAGGGCAAGGCCAGCTGGGGCTGGAGGGATCTGGAACTCTCCCTAGCACTGAGCCTCAAAGAGGCCCATATGGTGACTTTTACTCCACTGGAAATATTTGCTTTTTATGGGCATAAGTCAAGGGGTAACTTAATGGAACTAAATAAAACCACAATTGGTGGGATCTGCTGCCGATGCAGAATTTAGGATTTATGGGTGATGGAAAGATCCTTAACTTTGGTTCAAAAGCAAAGGCATCCAATGTCTATAGCCATTCTGACTGTGCAAGTGGCTTTGTAAAATATATGAACACCGTGAGTTAATCTTAAAAGCTACTGGGAGCCTAACCAGGGTAATCTAATACCTGGTGCATATTTTGACCCACTCTGCAAGTTCCAGCTTAAATTTAAATTTATTTACTTATTTATTAGAGTTATAAACTGCTCCCATAGCCCTGTAGGCAGTGTACTAGGTAAGAAGTGCAATGTAAGTTCAAAAGAAGCAATTATTTGCTTGGGAAGGTTCCAGTGACTTGTACTAGAGAGAATGGACATTAAATCATCCTGAACACAGGGCTTGAAAGTGAAACAGTCCTTTGAGTGGAGAAAGGGCTTTGTTTCCCCCTCCCAGTTAGGAGGGGAGGGACTGTTGCTCAGTGACCCAGTGCAGGCTTTGCATGCATAATGCACCAAGCTTGGTCCCTGGAACCTCCAGGCAAAGCTAAGGCAGAATCCTGCCTGAAACCAGCGGCAACCATCCTGAGCCAGCTGGAGCAATGGTCTGATTCAGTCCAAGCCCACTTCCCGTGTTCCTAGGCTGAAGTTCCCTTTCTGTGGCTATACTTGCATGTGACACTTAATCGCCATTGTTGAGCGCAGAGATGGGGCTCTGCGGCCCTCCAGCTGTTGTTGGAGGACAACTCCCACCCTTGCTCACCAGTGATTACACTGGCTCGGGCTGATGAGTGTTGTAGTCCAACAGCATCTAGAAGGTGTCCATGGGCACCACCCTCGCTTTAGTGCAGCCTTCCCCAAGAGGATGGCTTCTGGATGTTTTGGCAGCCACCACCAGCTTTCCTGACCATAGGCTGTGCTGGCTGAGAGAAAGCCCAGAACATCTGGAGGATGCCAGGTTGGGGAAGCCTGGCTTAGGGTTACGACGATGAGCTGCACTGCACCTCAAACTTGCATGCCCACCTCTCCTCCAGTGCATCTTTGAGGTGTGGGTCTTTGGAAGTGTTCACATCCATTTTAGATTGATTACAGCTTGTTGTGGTGCTGGAAGCTGGGAAGGACTGTGCTGAACTATGGTTTGTTGCAACAAATCAGCTTCAGCCTATGGTTTATGCAGCGGCTTTGTTTCAACAAATCATAGTTAAGTTTTACCACAATTTAGGGCTCATATGTAACACAAAACTGGCTCATCTTGAAGGGAAATGAAAACTTCCAATCAACTTGCTGATACACTGGAGGAAGGAGCATGGGAGTCTAGGGCTTGCTGCAGCTTGTTCTCATAAAGCACAGCTATGGTTTAGTGTTATGTCTGAAAGCGGACATACAAACAAACAAGCAAGTGTGCTTCTGTGTGGTTCAAGTGCAGAAACGACTAGGGCTTGTGCTGGCCAAATTGCTCAGGATAATCTAGAAGGTCTCAGCATCGAGAAGCAAAATCCTGTGGAGACCTGAAGTCCCCCATGCGTGCCTGGCGGCAATCCTCCACCTTTCTCTCACTGCGGTCTTCCGAATGCCAGGGCTCCAGCGGCGACGAGCGAGAAATGGCCAAGCAGCTAGCAGCAGCCATCTGTGAAGGGCTTCAGGAGTCTGTGGTGGAAGGGCAAGAGCCGGCTGAGTTTTGGGAGCTGCTTGGAGGCAAGGCCCCATATGCAAGTCAGAAAAGGTACGTATGTGTCCGTCCTCAACATTAGGGTCATGGAGGTGTCCCTGAAAGGGCTTGCATCAATCCTGGAGCAGAGCTGTGCTGGGTAGCCCTGCCCTTTCATGTCCCCAGATTTCCACTTGCAGAACCCAAACATCTGGAGGGAGAGGTCCCATTCACATACAGCTGTGCGCCTGCAGACCTCCATGCATGGCAGAACCCCCTTTGTTTTGGGGCTCTACCAGAACCTTAGTCCTCGGGGCCAACTCCAGCTCCTCCAAGAACCCTCATTTGCCAGCCCCTGTTCCCCAACCACCAATGGTTTAGTGATTTCCCAGCTTTTGCATGTATCATCTCCATTCTTAAAGGGGCAGAATGCCTCCACAAAGCCTTACTCGCTGGCAGTAAGTACTAAGAGGATTTCTTGTTGTGTTGGCCTCATCTCAAGAGGAATTTGGTTCTTGGGCTGAAAGAGGCTTGATTCCCCACTCCGGTTGTTCACGCTGCATGTGCAGATGTTGATGGAGAGGGCAGAATCATGTGCGGCACACCAGGAAGCAGAACTACATGGGCAACCCTGCTTGCCTGCTCATTTAAGCCCTTTCAACAACACCCTGCCTCCAAAAGAGCCACAAGAAATGGAATTGCCAGCCCCAGGAGGCTAATGCACCAGCGCCTACTTAAGACAGCTTTCCAGTGCCGAGCCTTCATCAGTAGGGAACTGCTAGACTGAGGTGATTTTTAGTGCTACTTGTTTTTATTCACAGTTTCAACTGCTTCATGGATTTGCTTCTTAATGCTCATGCCTTGATTTTAATGGCTGTGAGACACCATTGGTGGCTGAAAAATGAGACAAATGAAAAAATCAACATAGGAATAAATAAAATAAAGTACAGTTAAAGCCAGAGAGGTCATTCCAGGAGCATGTCTGAGTCGACTTCCAGCTGAATGATCCTGCTAGCAGAAACCGGGGGAGATAGAGACACTATTTTGCCTATTCCCCACACAAGTGTCCCCCCAGCGAGGCCACTTCTACCAATTTTGAGGGTCCCAAACACTCCAGAGCAAATGTGGAAGAGCACAGGGGGCCTTCCTCTGAGGCAGCAGAGATGGCTCCCCCCATGTTAAGCCATCAGAAAAGCTGTACTGGGAGAAAAGCCCCCTGCTGCTGCAGAATGAGTCTTGTGGGACGGGAGAGTTTTGCTGGTTCCAGCCAGTGTAAACAAAGGAATTGATAACAAAGCCAGCAGAACTGGGGTTTGGTTCAGTAGACCCCCGTGGGGTCACCCCAAGACGTTTACTCCCATGAGACTAAATAACAAAGAAGGGAAATGAATAATAATTAAAGCAACATCAGTTCTTTGGCACCAGAGGCAGAAAAATTCCCTGCAAATCTCCCCATTCCTGGCAGCAAAAATGCCATAATCATACATTAAATCACTCTCAGTTGGCTGCCTTCTTATGATGTCCTAAATCCACTGTTTGCGGCAGCCACCTTGCTCTGCCTCGTGGTCGGGCTGGCCCAGGCCTGCATCCACGCCTTCGTTTGAGCACTGCAAAGGGAGGCCTGGAAGTCCTTTCTCCAACAACCCACCCCTGTCTTACAGGCTGCAGCAGGAGGTTCCTGACCACCCTCCCCGGCTCTTCGAATGCTCCAACAAGACCGGCCGCTTCATAGTCATTGAGATCACGGACTTTACCCAGGAGGATCTCAGTGAAAGTGATGTGATGCTGCTGGATACCTGGGATCAGGTGTGCCTCAGGCAGGGGAGCCATAATGGCCCTGGGACTCCTCTCGCTCTTTCCCCAGCTCTCCCCTGTGTTGCCCTTTCATTCCCTGTGAGGGTTCAGCAGCCTGAAGCAGCCATTTGGCAGTTCAGCTACTTTGGGGGCGCAGGGGCAAGAAGCATCAGAGGCTGGTGCTATCTTTGAAAGTTTCTCGGCTGCAAGAAAGGCTGGGCAGAAACCGCAAGCAACGACAAGCCCAAGGCAAAAGATCTGTGAGCTCCGCAGTCCCAGAGCCTGAGGGCTTCTTTGTTCAATGCTTAATGTAAAGTTTCTAGGTTTCAAAATTTGTTCTGAAAGCATTTTAGAGCTTCCTGGAGGATACATCCACCACGTACTTGCATGAACCCTTAGATTACTTTTACCTTCATCTTTATCTGGGTGAACCCTCTGAATGATGTTAGGTTACTACAAGAGATAGGGCCTTCTTGGCTGTGGCATCCCCACTGATGGTACACCCTCCCAGGCAGGCTTTTCTGACGCAGTTATATTTTCTGTAGCAGGTGATGAGCTTTCTCTTCTCCCAGGCATGTAAGATCTGTAGATATGTGTTATAACTATTTGTTTCTTTCTAACCTGTTGTACTCTGTCTAGCAGCTTTTATATGTTCTTATTGGGCAGCACAGAAATACTAGACATCAAATGTAAAAGTTGCGTCAGGGGTTATGAGCTGTGATAGTCAAGAATGGTACCTGCAATGCTGAGTTCCTTGGAGCTCTGTTAGAAGAGGTACTGAATCAGAGGAACCTTTGACTGAAAAACGTGTCCAACTGAACTTTTCCCTTTATTCCCTAGAAACTTGTGGTCTCTGGACCAAATCTAGATGTCTGACTGGGAGAAGTAAGGTGGTGAAACACAGTTCAGTTCTGCCACGTTCATCTTACTGTTAAAGTAGCACCGTCTTCACTCCCAGCTTTAAAAAAGAACAAGCAGACACGAGAAGAGAAACCCAGGGCCATGCTGGCACATCTGCTTTGCCCCATAGCCATTGTGGCCTGGTTTCAGAAGGGCTGCCTCCTCTTTCCCAGCCAAGTGCTCTCCAGGTGTGGTGAAGTGGCACTCCTGCCATTCCAGCTAGCATGGCCGCCCTCCGGAAGGCACTGGCTTGGGAAACGTCTGCTCTAGTTGTTTCCTTGCATGGCAGAACTAACTTCTATTACTCCGAGTGACTTGAAAGGATGACTCTTCTCTTTCCAGATTTTCTTATGGATTGGCAAAGAAGCCAGTGTAGTAGAGAGGAAGGAGGCATTGACAACGGCTCAGGAATACCTGCAGACCCACCCCAGTGGGAGGGAGACTGATACCCCCATCCTGATAATCAAGCAAGGTTTTGAGCCCCCCACCTTCACAGGCTGGTTCCTGGCTTGGGATCCGTACCGGTGGAGCGTAAGTGGAAGACATGTCCCAGACACGTGTCTTATTTCCTGAGGAGCTGAGAATCCCTTGATCTGAGAATTATTACATCCCTTGTGTCATGTTGAGAGAGGACACAGCATTATCGCTATAAAATACATGTCATGCAGCTCTGACCCCGTCCGGAAACAGATGCTCACAAATCTTTGAAATCTGAGAGTATATCCACAGTACTGCTGTCTGGAATGTGAAAGTGGGATTTCTCATTTCATTTCTGAATGGTTGGATGCCTGAGACTAATGGGGGACACTTTACGTCTTGATTTGGCAGGCGTCAATCATCGAACCTCATATGCTGTCACTTGTCAAATATTGGCAAGTAGTAAATGCTCCTGCATCGCAACTAGTTATATTCCTCCCTGAATTCCTTTGGCAAAAAGCAAGCTATGAATACATTCAGTAAATGGATAAACGCATCCAATAATCACATCCTGTTCAATAATCACACTCCCACGACAGCTACTAAATACTGTCAAATACCAAGCTGCATCACATGTTGACCATCAAATACCAAAACAGGATATAGCTCGGTGCCAGTGTAAGGCAGCCGGAACTGATTTTGGAATGGGCCACTTTGTGCCTGCTCACTTAGGGGCTGCTTGTCATCTTTCTGGTTTAGTGTGAAAGCATCAGGCTTTAAAGCAGAGGTGGACCCCTTCTGGCCCTCCAAATGTTTTGGCTGAGAATTCCCATTATGCCTTGCCATGGGCTCTGCCGGCTAAAGCTGATGGGAGCTGTGGGCCGAAATATCTGGAGGGCTACAAGATCACACCCCTGCTTTCTAGGACAGGCTACGCCTTTTCAGAGAAAGGGCTTTTCTGAGTTAGTACAAGAGCAACTAGGCCTGCTGATGTTTGACACCCTCTCAAATAAGGGTGCTACCCATCACTTTCTAGAGAATGGTTGTGGCTCACATTTGGCTAGCAGCTGCCTCCTACTTGAAGTCCTGCCCTCTTATCCCATGCCTAGCCTAACAGGGAGTACCTCACTTGCACATCATTCTGCCTGTGAGCTCCCCAGGGGCAGGTGGCTGGCTGTGGGAAAACAGAAGCTAGCTTAGATGGAGCTTTGGGCTGATGCAGTCCCCATTTCCCTGCAGCTGAGCCCTGCTGGGACCCATAATCAGGTTCCTGCACTAAACATGTGGGAGGAAAGCTTTGTTCTCTGCATTCCAGCTGGAATATATCCCTGCAGCTCCCCTGATGACTGGCTTCTTCTGTCCTTCCAGGAAGGGAAGACGTACGATCAGCTGAAGAAGGAACTGAGAGAGGACCACAGCATTGTCAGTGGCTCCAAGGTGAGTTGGGGGCCTGTTTCCCCATGACAGGCCACAACTGAGGCGGCCAAGAAGTTCCAGTGCATAGGCAGTCCCTGGTCCCAGCTCACACAGTTTGCCCATCAAGCCCAGCTTTGGCTCCCCAGACTGGCCTTGAGCAGAGAGCTTGCTGCCTTTTATCTGGAGCTGCCAGGGATGGCACCCCGGAACTTCTGCAGGGAAAGCACATGCTCTGCCATGCAGCGCTGGACCCTCTTCCGTCACTTCCCCACTGGACCACTCTTCCCCAGGGATACAGATTAGTATTGCAGCTTTGGGCTGATGCATGTCTGACGGCATGCTGGGCAAGGCAGGCAAGGCCTCGGCACTCATCGCCGCTGCCTGTCAGTAGCCTTCTCACAATCATCCAGGCTTTCAAATACCTGGGATCCTGCAGCAATGAATAGCCATGTCCAAACAAACATGTCACCATGCAAGCATAATGAATGAATTAAATAGTTTGAGGTTGCTGTGAATGCAAGGTACCTACTCACAGAGGAGGCTGTCTGTTGTGTCCTTGCACAGATCCCTGTCTTTCCGTACAGCCTCTGTTGCGGGGGAAGGTCATTTTGCCTCATCTCTGTACTGGGGATGATTGAATCCATCAGTTGCTCCCAATTCAGAGGAAAAACAGGATTACCAGCTCCTGTGTAAGGAACAGGGACTCACACATATCCACAGGCTTTGTATCCCTCTGAGGATGGATAGTTCTTACTTTTGACAGTAAACCTTCTGGAAGGTGTGCCTCCAATTTTACTTCAGGGTTACAGTGAGCATCAGATATTTTAGCAAAGAATGGCATAGAATCTGCTATCCAGACTGCATTTAGGAATCTGTTTTTTTCTGTTTAGGATTCCAATGGGGGATCCGTTGCCCTAAGAGCTGGCATTGGTGGCAGCAACTACCCAACCTACCCTCTAGAAATCTTGCTGTCCAGCCAAGATAAGTTACCTGAGGATGTGGATCCTACTAAGAAAGAGGTGAGTTCTTTTAGGCCATATATTTACTACAATGTTGAGAATGGCAATAATAGCAAGTTGTTATTCTGTGATTGTACCAAGCGAACAGGCAGTTTGGAATTGGGGATGGAAATCAGCTGAAACTTCAGCTTAAAAATCATGCTCCTAGTCCTCATGGCTGCAAACTTAGGCTCCACTGGTTAAATATGAGAAGGCATATATTGGCCCTGTTCCAGTGTGCATAGCAAACAGCAGATGAAAAGGTATCGTTTCAGACTACAGACAGGGGCTTACAGCATTGACTGTTCCTTCATAACAAAATAAAAACAGGACTAGAGACATCTTCATGCAGAAAGCTAGCACACCATGGAAGACTGAACTTTAGGTTATAAGGTCCTCAGGGTGAGAAAAACAGCATGTGTTTTTATTATTATAACTGTATAATAAATGTCTATACAGAATCAGTATTTTGGTAGAATTCAGTGTGGTAATTCTTCTGCAGTCTAAAGTTTTATAGTCAGAAAAATGTTTACCTCATCCTTTGTGATGTGTACAAACCAGGCCATATGGGGGAGGGGAGACACACACCAAAGAAAGCAATTTATCACACGACTTTGTTCCTTTGAGTTTGATACAACTAGCACTAGCTCGGTTGCAAGAGCTCCCACTGTTTGTACTGACTGTACCAGCACGCTTCCCCTTACTCATCCAAGCATTTCGGGTTTTTCCCTCATCCACAGAACTTCCTGTCAGAAGACGACTTCATGAGAACCTTTGGGATCCCAAGGGAAGCATTTGCTGCTCTCCCTACTTGGAAGCAGCTGAACATGAAGAAAGATAAGGGGCTTTTCTGAAGAAGAATGCAGAATTTATACAGGTGGAAGAGGATCCAACTATATTCACTTCCTATCCATTTGGGGCAGGCCCCAAATCTAGACACGGCATGTTCTGTGACAGGAACGGTCTCGTTTTCAACTGTATGTATCACACTTGTGCCTAACTATGCTCTGAAAGGTGGCTTCATATTGTCACTGAAGCCTGCTGCTGTCCAGGAAGAATATTATTATTTTCCTTCCCTGAATTCTTACAAGCCTATGTTGTGATGAATTCAAAGTCCTGTGAAGAACATGGAATGCCAAAGTTCAGAAAATACATGGGCAACCAGCATGGATTTCTGCTCTTGGCTCAAATCTTGCCACATAGAAATATGTAGCCAGGAGCAGCACATAGAAATCCAAGTCAAATGAAGGCTGCTTGTTTTGTGATTTGACACCAAGAGTATATCTATATCTATATATATGTATTACAAACATTAAAATGGAATTTGCTGTCAAGAATACCTCATTCCACCTTATCTGTTGCTACTCTGATGGAATGCTGAGATTTGGTTTGGGAAGAAATAAACGATCCTTTAGGACAGGGTGGGGAACATTTGGCCCTCCAGATGTTGCCGGACTGCAAGTCCCACGATTCTTGACCACTGGCCATTCTGGCTGGGACACATGGGTGTGCCCTCCCGCACCATCTTTACTGGGGTTCAGAAGAGTGGCTCTGCAGCTCAGAACCACCACCCCTGCCCTGCTGTTTTGTACTTGTGTTCTTGGACAAGCCATTTTTCTTTTCGTTTCAGCCCACTTGTCTTCTGGGAAATATTTTTTTAACCAGCCATGTCCATCAACCCAGCCATTTTGTAAATGTGCAAACCCCTCCCCATAATAGCCATTGTCTGAGAATACCTACAATATACCCTCAGATTCCCAAATGCGTTCAATGACCAAAGAGTTTGGGGATGTGTGTCATCGAATGACCCTGTGGAGAACCTGTTAGCCTTCCCTCCAACAGAAGAAAGGCCAGGCCCTGTCACAATGAACTATGTCCTGGCTAGAACCTCTCCACACAGCTTTAGCATGTAAAAGAGCAAGGACCTGTGCACTCCCTGTGGTTTAATCCGTTTCCCTGGCACAACAGAGAAGTGAGAATGCTCAGAGAGCATGAATTGCCTGGCCTGGCAAAGCTTGCTCTTCCTCTCTCTCTCAGTGCTTCCAGAGTCAAGGGCTTCCTTGCTACTGTCATGGGGAGTGTTTCCCTGGCATCTTACAATTAGGCACAACAAATTGTCATCCCCATTAAAGAGCACACTGCTCAGGATTCAAGCTTTATTGTTTAGCTTGCTGTGCTAGTGGTTGCGGTATATGGGTGAGCCATCCTGAAGGAAAACACGAGAAAAGCAAATATAGCAGCACACAATCCTACGGCTCACTGCACTGTGTACTCGTCAGCAGCCCAAGTCTCACTGCTGTTGTCCTCTTTAAAGTTTTTTAAAGATATTGAGACTTGAAAACATGTGGGCCATCATTAGATTAGATCATCACACGCTAAACCAAACATGAGAGCATCAACTAAATACAGGGTGTGAGCAGAGGATAGAAATCCTTCAGTTCCCAGACTTCAACTCCCAGAATGGCCAATGGCCACGCATGTTGGGAGCTGCAGTCTGAAACTTCTACTCTCTGTCTGCCCATGTGCTAGAATAATGGGTGGCAGGGTGAATCGTCTCCATGAGTCAAGGTTTAGAGTTTCACAGCAGCCTTTGCTGTCTCCCACTGATACATTAGCAAAAATATATGACGCAAGCCTGCAAAGGTCACAGCACTGTGTTTCCTTAATATGGAATTCTGGTGTTTTTAACCTATGCCACTTCCAATTGGCTTGTTATGCCAGCAGCAGCTGCTTAACAGACAGGGCACCTTTGAAAGCTAGGCTATGCCGTACAGATTTGTTGCTAAGCAGAGGGTATTAGCCTACAGCACACATTGCCTGGGCTCAGAAAAAGTGAAGGGATCACTGTCCTTGACTAGAACCATGCACTTTCTGCTTAAGTTGCAATGAGCCAGAGAAGACGGGCATAGATACAGAAGCAAGTAGACTGTCCAGTGACTGAAATGGGGCACTAAAGTTGCCACAGTCATATTCCCCAGTCACACTCCAGAATGCAGGGGAGTTTCAATTTATGTGGCAAAACCCAGAGCCATCCACTCATTATGTTCACACTGGTGCCACCACAGCTGCCACTTTGCCGCACATGGCCCTTCAAGCAGCACAGGCACCAGAAAGGAAAAGCACACAATGTCCTACTAAGCCAAACCTTTTGTGAGAAACAGACTGGGAAGAGATCAGAAGCCGTTCCCACTTGAGCATAATCTGCTGTTTGGAACGGTTGGGAAGAAGAGAGGGCAGCAGGAGAAATGCCTCTGGAAATAATAGCCAGAAGCCTTAAATTACTAAATGGTGATAACCATTAATAAGTCTCAGGCTTTGATATTACAATAAAAGAGGTTCCAGTGGCAGTAGTTGCCAAATGGAAAGCAACCAACCCCAAATTTTGAAGCACTTTCAAAAAATGGACAGTAACACCCCACATCTCAGAGGAGAGAGGCTTACAGGGTTTTCAAATGAGCTTAAAGGATTTGCTCTATTTTACAAAACACATCCAGTCATGAGTTTTTCTTGTCTCTGAACTTAAACACATTTTGCTTTCTGTTTTATTATGCCCCCCTACTCTCCTTATTTTACTATAAGGAAAGAAAACAGGTGGGTGAATTGATGCCTTCCAGATGTTCTAGCCTACAACTCCCATGAACCTTGGCCAACACAGCCAAGGGGAAAAGAGCACAGAAGTCATAGGCCAAAACATCTGGAAGGCCACAAGTGGCTCACTACTGCCCTAAATTTAGTGCAACAAATAATACCGCAAATAAAAAATTTACTAGCATCTGCAGAATCAGAAGAGAGTTACAAATTACCCAATATGGAATATGTTTTCTGTGGAATGCAGCGTTCTGAAGGTACGTAGTTTACTTGCGTGCATTGTTAGGTATTCTGGGTTTTTCCCATTTACCGGAAGCAAAATTCCCTTGGAATCATATAATGCGTGCAATTGGCTTGAATCAGTGGCCACAGTATTCATCCTGGTCACTGCTACATTCACAGGATAAGATGAGTTAGCTTTATTTGTTACATAAACATCTGTTTGCCACACTTTGGCCATCACATATTATGAAATTGTTTCAGAGCATTGGAAAATGGTCTCGTGTTTAACAGCTGGATTCTGGATCCAACCAACGTGGCTTTTGTTCGTCACCAGCCGCATCTGTTAACCACAACGGGGTCTAAGTGGGAACTGTGAGCAGTTTGCTTATTCAATATAAAAATATGGTCTACTCTGATTCTGCCGACTCCGTATCCTCTCCGCATTCAAACCGCACAAAGTCCAGCACAGATACACCTGTAGGCTGAATATATTGTCCCAAGGAGATAGTCGGCTCCAGGAGGAATGGCTGAGCAAGCATCTTGGTTTCAGTATCATCACCAGGTTCATCCTCCAGAGAGCCGACAGAGAGGGGAGCCATCCCCACCACATGCTGGCCCAGCCGCCAGCCTAGCTCGGCAAGGTTCAACTTTTGGCACTGTTCGGGAGGACTGCAGATCACTAAGGCGCCGTATTTGCCAAACATCATGTTAGAAAGCCATGGGTTTCCTTCTGGGAGCGTCCCATGCACGTAAGAGCCAATGAAGAGCTTCTCTGGCACCGATACCCATGCTGCTCTCTTGATAGCCATGTTCTCTCCCAGCTTGCCTTTCAAAAAAAAGGGGGGAAAAGCTGTTATACATAGGGGAAGTTTGCATGCTCAGAGAAGGAAAATAACCCATTCTGTGAGTGCTGGTTACATGTCACTGAATTACTGTGTGAATTTTACCATGTTATCTGAAACCCAGTCATGGGTTTCAGGGTGGTTTCTAAATCCATCTGTCCCTGCAAGCCGTACTGTGTCCATACAACACAACAAACCATGCCTGGGGAGAATACTTATGCTGGGATGGGAAAATAAGCTATAGAGGCCTATTTTCCCAGTCCTTCAAACCCAGTCACTGACGGGCCTGGTTTACATGTAGAGCTAACCCATGGTTTATGTTGCCTATCCAGTTTGTTGTGCAAATGATCTAAGAAACTTTGATTTGTTTCTTCAGTTCCTGACTTGTCTGTTTCCCTTCTCCATTGCTCCATATTGCTCCAAGTATTCCAAATGCCTCCATAGTATTGGCATAAAAAGTGGCTGCATTTTTTGACTATTACAGACCTCTGTACCTGGCAAATTCTAGCTTTACGCATAACAGCAAACCATGGTTTAAACAACCCAGAATTCAAACCCCAACAACAGATCATAGGTTCCCTTTCTGGACTGTTCAAGCTTAACAAACCATGGTTTGTTAGCCATTCATACAACACAACAACCCAGAACTGAATAACCTATGCCATGATTTAGCATTATGAACCAGACCACTGTGATTAAAGGCTGAGGTACATAAGGTACAAAGCAACTATGGCAAGCTCAGAAGAGGTAGGGCAGAAGCATCTTGAGAGTTCCCTTCACCAGCTACTACAGTCTTAGCAAAAGAATTCAACTTAAGTGCCAAGGAGGGGGGTAGTTGTAAGCTTATTATGTATTAAGTAAAAATAGCTGCTATCTACTAGTCCCTGTTTCTTGAACATACTCAGCACTAGAACACTCACCAATAGCCAGAGCCAACTGGTCACTTAGCAAAGAGCCATCAGGTTCTGTCCTGAGCTGAGAAAGCTCATTAGATTTTAAGAAACACTAAAAAGAAGTCAAAGGAAAAGCATTAGAATTTACAACCTTTTCTTTATATGGACAGTTAGATTCATAACTAACACAGTTGCTTAGAAAGCTGCTCAAGCAATACCTAAAATGGGATGAAGGAAGGGGAAGAAGATGAGTGAGGCCTGGACTAGGGATGCAGCTGGTGTGCCACCAAAAGTACATTCACCTGGAGACTCAAGCAAATCTGGCCTTCCTAAGAAGTACTGATGTATGAGACAGGCATTTCAAGCTTTGTGCCCAGACGGTATGTTTTCTCTGAAAAGATAGTATGTGTGAATCAGCTCTAAGAAAATTCAGAGTAAAAGCAACTCATTTGAGGTAAAGCCAATGACGTGGTACTGTGTAACCCTCTTTCCTAAAGGCATTTCAAGTTTTCTAAGAAATCAGAATTACCGTATTTTTCGCTCTATAAGGCACTCTATTTCCCCCTCAAAAGTAAAGGGAAATGTCTGTGCGTCTTAAAGAGCGAATGTGTGTGTGCCCAACACCTGGGATGCTGCCGGCCTGCCTGCACCACGTGGCACCACCTGGCCAGCACGCACTCGGCGCGTGCTGCTCCACCCCCCCCCCCAGTGCAGGTGAGAGCTGTGCCACTCAGGGGGAGCGGTGCGGAGGAGGAGGAGCCGCGGGCTTTAACCTGCCGGCCGCACGGAGAGACGGACTGCTCACCCCCACCGCCTAAAAATAAACCATTTGATTCAGAATATTTTTTTCTTGTTTTCCTCCTCTAAAAACTAGGTGCGTCTTATAGAGCGAAAAATACGGTACTTAAGGTTGAAAAACAAAACTACCCTGATGCAGCTGACGTTATTTCTGAGAATCAATGGTCTTTTAAAAAACAATTAAAAGCAGCAGTAGCCGCACCATTAGGAATCAATTAAGAAGCAAAAGAGGTCTGAACCAAAATAACACACATTTTTGGCAGTGCTGAAAAATACATTTTATTTCCCAGTCATTTTTGGACAAGCCCGGCAAACGGAGCTGTGGCCGCCACTCAGTTAGTGGGGCTCGGGTCTGAGTGCAATCAGCAGAAACAAAGTGCAGCAGGCAAGCCTGGGTCTCACCCACTGCGCGCACACGCTCCCTCCCTCCCTCCCTCAAATGAGTTTACTTGTCTACTGTGAAGTCATCCTACAACTAAATCTTCAGTGCTTGGTCATGCAGCAGGGAGAGGCAACCTGCTTTGGACGGCACTGGGAGCTCATAGGGAGGGAATGGATGAAGGCAGAAACTGCCATTGGAATGGTGCACCAAGACTTTTTTTAAAAGTGTTGGTCCAAAATGAGGTGGGAGGAGTTTTTGTGGCTTTGGGGGTTCCACAAAGGCAGCAAAATGTCTTTGTCTGGCACAGCAAATTGGACTGATCATGTGGTTTTATGACATTATTCCCGTCACTGGGCTGGAGGAGCATGGGGGACCTGCCAGCTTGCCTTCACTGCATGTGTGGCTTCTGTGACCGGGAAAGCCTACACACTACGAAGCAGCAGCACAGAAGAATCCCTGTGATTGCCAATAGACAGCAGGAGAGGGGAACAGCACATGGGAAAAGTTGGATTTGCCCCCAAGATCCTGTTTTAGGGCCTGGCAGCTGGATGCAAGGCAGAACGTGTTCCTCAGAACATGGGTGCTTTGGAATCAGTTTTCCAACATAGGGTAGCTTATACTATGGGAGAGGGCACCATGGGAACTTCAGTGCTTCTGCAAAAGCCTTGGGAAGCAATTCATTTTGGGCAAGAGATGTACTCCTGGGGCTGGTTATGTGGCACACAAATCTCTCGTGCTGCTTTGAGGGTGCGGCTGGCACACACTGAGGGCTGCCCACTCCAGAGGCCTCTTCAATGGCACCACGATAAGGTCTGTGAGCAGGTGGACTGCAAATGTCTCTTCCACTCTACAGTTCAATAATCTTCTGGTCCTGCCTTTGCTGAAATGGCTTGATGGGAACCATTCAGGTGAAACATACACTCTGCACTTGAATACAGTTTTCTGAATCCAGGGGAGTCATGCTTAGAGCAAGACCCTCTGAAAAGAATGGGACTTAAGTTAGCTATAGATAACTACAATCCCACTGATTACGGCTCTCTGAACAAGTCAGTCTGGAGCCGAGCCAGTACTCTGATGGGCCAAATATCAACCATCCAAATGTGTTAGGTATTTCAAATTGTGAGCCCTTCACGTTGCTCCTACCTTGGCATAGGTGCTTAACTGGCCTCTGGTCCTTTGCTGATACTGCATAGTTCCAATCGCTACTTGCTGAACCAGGTGCTGGAACTTGGCATTTCGGGCCACAAAGTCAGTCTCACAGTTCACCTGGCAGAGGAAGACAGCTGGTTTTGAATGGCATAGTCACCTGCTGCTATATTGCTCACAAAGCAGGAATAAACTTTGAAGAGGAAATGAAAAAGGCAAAAAAGACAGGATTTCTAAGTTTTGAACACAGTGCCTACAAGTTTTCCATTGATTTCTCCCAAGATGGATGGATTTAGTATTATGCTGCAAGTCTGAATGCAGACAGCTCTCCCATAAGAGTTTGCCATCACAGCAAAGAGATCCTCTCAAACATCTTTCTATAATCTTCTGATCAATGTAATAAGATAACCGCTTACTTATAATCACTCTCATTTGCATGCTATCTTATCCCCTTCCTTTTCCAGTCAGCAACATTTTAAACAAGAACTATTAGCATTTGGAGACTGCTCTGAAATAAAAAAGATCCAGTAGCCAATCTCTATTGCAAGTGTGGTCTCTGCAAGCCATTAGACTGGTGTAGCAAAATTTCTTATTCATGGGCACAGACAGACAGGATAAGTATAGTAACCATTCTCCCATTGATTAATTGTCTGTGCATCCATGTGACACAACATTGATCTTGAAAACTGATTGCCCAACACCAAGGAATTTTCCTACAGAAACGAGAATGCTCACCTCTACCATCACTGCAGAATTTCCCTCCTTCAGTAGTCCTATAAGCCCTTCTTTGGTCTTTCTTCCTTGCAGTTTGGAAACTTTGCTCCACCCTTCCTTTTGGGCTTGTTCATGAAGCCAGACTTCAGCCTTGAAAGAAAACTGAACTTTAGAACTGAGACAAAGAGAACTAGTCAAACACCAAATGAAAACCTGTGCATTCTGCCAGAGTTCTATCGCTGCAGAATGCAACACAGGGTGGCTTTGAATACATGTCTATTACCAGAGATGTCTTCCAGGCAGAAAGCTAGAACAGTAGAGAGAAGGGTCCTAGCTCAGCTCTCTTAATGATATGCTTATTTTCCACATTCAGGGTTTTGGGGCCATAGGAAGTCATGTTTGAGTGTATCCTTTTCTCCCTCCTGCCCGCAGTGCTACTACTAAATAATCAAATAGCCTTGTCTGAATTTATCTTGTAAGCAAACATCTTATGTAAGTATCTTGACTTAAATGTGTAACAGTAATTATAGATGGAAGAGTGTGTGTGTGTGTTACATAAAACAAGTATACCTAATTGAATATGATTACAGAACTAACTGTTCCATTGCAATCATGCTTATACTTCAGCTCAACTGTATCAAGTGTGTCAATCCAACCTGTTGAAGTTCTGGAAGACAACAAATCCACATTTAGTTCTGATGGAAGGTCTATCAAATAACTGGACTGTGGCTCCTGCTTGGTCAGGTCATAAAATTGTGACTGCCTGAAGACAATTCCCGTCACCTGACTGTCATTCACACTGATCAACTGGCTATTTTGTGAGGCATGTGATTTACATATGTCACCATTTCTTTTGTATGTGCCTCTCCCTCAGTTAATTTTCACAGAAGAACCATTTTCTATGGGGTATTTCATACATAAAGGAAATAAACAATACTTTTCTTCACTGGGCTCCTCTTTTTCTTTCAGAGCAATCTATTTGATACTGGAAGCTCTCTTGATTTAAGAGGCAGGTAGGCCATCAAAAATGTCAGTACTCAACAATGCCCCTCAGTCAAACAGACTGTACACACACAAGATAAAGCAACACGGCTTACAAATTCTCTTCAGCTGGATCTTACCCATAGTGGAATTCATTTTAATAGAATAAAGCCCACTACATTAAATAAGACTTAAGCCCTTGTCTGCATGCATACAACTGCAGCCGTACAATACATTTTGCATGGAAATGCTTTTGCATAATTTCCTTTGTGTCTTAAGCACACTTTAAACACAGAGGGAAGTAGGTGGGGAGCAGATAATTAAATATGTGTTTTACACCATACCCAAAGATTTGTTCTCACCTCATTGAGGTCATCAAATTTCTCCAAGGCTTTCTTACAATTTGCAAATGAGTAGCCAGTTTTCTTCCTAAGCTTTACCAGTTGTTCCTTTCCTGCTTGCACTAGAAAGCCAGCATGAATAAGACGAGCTAGAGGCCAGCCAGATAACTACAAGGAAAGGAAAACCAGCTTGAAAAGATGTCAAAGATGCACCAACATTGACAGCAAAAGAACAGTTGTACACATTCCAGGTCTCATTGCTTGAAAACTGGTATAACTACCCATGAAATAAAGTTTTTAATTAGGGAACTAAAAGTTCTGCAAACTCATTAGGCAAAACCAATCACACTAATAGATGTCCTAGGACTACAGAACACTCTGACCTTCTGCCACTAGCCAGGCATTATGTATTATAATATTAAAATAACCTTATACTGTATACCCCTTCATGGCTACAAAGGGGCTGTGACAAAGGGGCTTGCATAGCGTAATGAAGCTATAAGCTATGCCATGCAGGAGCGCCCAAGATGGACAGGGCATAGCAGAGATCTCTGACAAATGGTGAATACTGCTGGAGAAGGAAATGACAACCCACTCCAGTATCCTTGCCATGAAAACCCCATGGACAGAATAAAAAAAAAAATCAACTCTGTTTTTTAGAAGGACAGATACTGAAGCCGAAGTTCAAATACTTTGGTCACCTAATGAGAAGGAAGGACTCACTGGAAAAGACCCTGATGCTGGGGACAATTGAAGAGAAAAGGAGAAGGGGACAGCAGAGGTTGAGGTGGCTGGATAGAGTCACTGGGGAAGTGGGTGTGGGGTTGGGTGGACTTTGGGGATGGTGGAGAATAGGAGAACCTGGAAGAAAGTTGTCCATGGGATTGCAAAGAGCTGGGTATGACTTTGCAACTGAACAACATATTATGTAATCATATATTTTATTAGCATGTTTAACCTTTCAGACAATTATTGTCTCCCACAGCAGCTTGCATCAATAAAAAACCTCAGAGGATGATCTTAACGTCTGGGAAGGTATGTATGGGAGGAGCTGTTCCTTCAGATATTCAGGTCCTAAACTGATTAGGGCTTTGTATGGCAGTATAAGCACCTTGAAGCAGGCTCATACTTCAATTGGCAGTCAATGTAGTTGGCAAAGGGCTGCCATTATGTGTTCTTGTCAGCCAGCCCTTGTTAGCAGACAAGCTGCTCAGCTTTGTACCAACTGAAGCTTCCTGGCCATTTTCAAGGGCAGTCCAACAATTAGCATATACATATCCAACTGTAAATTTTCACCAGTGAGATACACAGTTGTGGCAGAATGGATTCTCTCTCTGTTGCAGCCCCGCTCCCCAAACAGCATTGCTTGAAGAGTCAGGAGACCCTCTAGATCAGGTCTAGGGATGCACACAGAAAGGAAGGGAGAAGGGAAGCCCAGTAGTGAAAATCAACCTCTGTTTGTTCAATATAAAATGGAACTGCCTGTTTTCTTGGAAGAGTATCTCGCCAAGAGAGAAAACAATCCATTAACAGTTTTTCCAATGTTTGCTCTCCTCCGCCTTTTTGTATTATGTCTATTAGATTGTGATCCTTTACACAGGGGCAATTTTACCTTTTAAAATCTGTGCAGCGCTTACATTTTTTAAATTGATTTATAAGTGCTAATACTAAATATTTCACTGAATACTAAGCACGTGAACTACACGAATAAGTAACAAACAGAAGTCTTCCCCATCACTAAGCTGCCATAGGACGAAAGTCTCCTCTGCATACTGGCACTGTGCTCATCCCTAAGAGAACCTGCGGCCGCCCGGTGTCACAAACCTCCCGGGGAGGAAGGAGCTGCCCCGGGAGTGAAAGAGGAGCACGTTGCGCAGGAAAAGCGCCCGAGCTCCCAGTTGAGAGGCGCCTGGATCCGGGCCCCGCGAGCATCATATCGCCTTATCCCATCACCTGCGCCACCGGAGCACCTCTTTTCTCAGAAAAAATCAACGCCCTTGCCAGCCCGGCCATCCGCTGCATCTTGACGGCGCTTGCATTATACATCATCAGCTACTACGGGTCGTGACAGGTGACTCTTCCGGCGCCGAGGGGGGGGGAGCCGCGCGCGCAGGAATCAACCCCTTTTTCCAGGAACCTAATTGGTTGCAGACTATCGAGATTGTTATTGGTTGCAGGGCAGGAAAAGGGGCGGGTGGAAGCCCTCGCCCTATCGAGAGGGAGCTTTCTAGCTCCAGGGCGATTTCAATCAAGAGCTGCCTCGGAATTGGCGGGAATTGGCGGGAATTGACGACAGTCCCAGCTGTGAGAAACCCTTTCGGGGGACCCCCGATGAGTCGCTGCTTCGCGCGTACTCAGCTCACCGGAAGTCATTAAAGCACTCGGGGAGCGTCGCTTCCCGCGTCGCGCTTCGCTGCTGACAAGCGAAGGCTGCGGCTCTGTACCTTCTTGCCAGGAAGGAAGCCCCACCGAACTGTGTGAGGCTCTTTTCCATAACCGTACGTAGCATTGTGTCGCAAGCCCCCATTCCAATGAACTGTACATGGGGGACGCCATCATTTTTAATGGCTATTCTCCGGCCCTTGAACTCCAAATTAATGAAGGTTTATTCATTTCCATCTTAATGGAAATTAAGATGTGTCCATCTTAATTCTTCACTGCATCCTCTTCGCTACTGAATTGTTCACAAACCCCATCCAGCTCTCTGAACCAGATCTCTAAGTGGCTCCCAATACTCCAGTGATATATTTTAATTTGGACAACCACATGTTGGGGTTTACGTGAACAGAGCTGGCTGGAACCGGGGGTCAGACTAGATGGCCCAGGAGGCCCCTTCTGACTTGCTTTATTTCTATGTTTCTAATTTGCATTATTTTCCAATTGAAGCCAGAACTATGAATGCAGACACCACCATCCCTCCCCCAATGACTCTAATTAAAATAAAACTGGCTAAATGTCAGTTCTGTCAAGATGGTTTTGATTCAGATAGTGAACTACTACAGACCAATTCCCAGGGGCTGAACAGAATATAAAATTGAGTACACAGAAGAGGTATTATGCAAACCTTTTAAGAGGATGTGAATGCCACAAACAGATTATTCCACAACAACTGTTTTTACGTGGATTTTCTTCCCATCTATTTCTGGACTTGTGTTGGGCCCAAGGAAATTGTGCAACATTGCGATTCCCATTTTCAGTGATTAAGACCATGGCTTGGGAAGCCCCAGCTCAAGTCACAACTTAAATATGAATGATTGTCATCAGCGCTATGTAGAGAACCACAATGAGAACATCTGTTGTTGAGTAGGGAACAAATGCAGTAAATAAATAAATATGAGCTCAGTAGGTGACCTTAAGGGAACCATGTTCCCTCAGCTGTCTCTCCACTTCCCTGGGCCAATGCAAGACCTGCATCAACCTACACTGCAGGGTTGTTGTTAAGTCCAATAATATATGCCATGTTAAGAATTTTAAACCTAAAACTAAACAATAAAACTAGATAAACTGGCCATTGACAACAGAACCACTGACAAGAGCCAAACAGCATGTAGAGAATTCTCCTTAGCTAATGAACTATTTGTGATGAATATAGGGGAACCATGAATGCTGGGATATCAATGTAAAATGTAAATATAGGGGAACCATGAATGCTGAAATATCTTCCCATGCATTAAACAAACAGGTGCACAGACAGAGGTTATTTACAACAAATTTTGTAATTAATATGTTGAATGAAACTTCACCCTCAGCGTTTACAGGCACAGCTTCCTTATGTACCTATTGAATTGAAACTTGGGCACCTACACGTTAAGAATGGGATTGTACATTATTGTGAAATAGAAATACATGGAGCATAGGCACACACAAGTTAATGCCCAGCCCTATCTTTATGAAGATACAAAGTTCTTATGAAAGAGCATCTCTCAAAATGAGAAAAGGCATCATGGTGTCTTTTAGAGCACTTAGGTAATGCTTTGCTTCTCCTGCCTCTGGTACCACTGAATGTTCTTTGCCTGAGCATTAGAGATGACATAGCTGTCTTTGCAAATTCGGCAGAGGCACAGGAAAGCCAGTGAACCATGCACATTAGCAATGGAAGTATGTGCTGACATGCTTCCCTTCTCCCATTGCTGTTTCTGGTATACACTTCCAAATCTTTCCATGAGAGAAACAAAGTGAACAATTCCTGCTAGCCACAGCATTAAGCACCTGTGTGCACATAAGCAACACAACTGCAGATGTATCCTGCTGTTTTCCCAGTAGAGTTTAAAGCATGAAGCCTACAGAATGACTGAGGAATCCAGGGTAATGGGAATGACAGTTACTTGGCCTGCCCAGAGAGATGACTGGACACTTCACGTTGGACAGCACTGCTCTTTCTGGAATGTGATCTCTCTCATACGATGACTGAGGACTTGTATAGTGTATTCATCAAATGAAAGAGACATTACTGGAAATATCCACTAGAAGGCAAAGAATCCTGGAAAACAACTGGAATGGGCTGGCAGATCAACCCACTAAGGCTTCTGGAACAATAACTCACAGTCAAGGCAGCATATGTCACATGGATTGTGGCAATTAGGGACACTCATTGTCTGACATTGTTTTTGGTGGTCACTTTGTAGATGTTAATATTCTCAACCTCATCCCTAAAGGCCAGTTGTGAAACGAAGTGCTTAGGGAGCAAAGTCTCAAAGAACAATTCTGTACTATGTTCCTGTCTCATTTTTGAAGACAGATAGATAGTTGACTGGGACCCACACAGGTGCTGGAGTGTTCTGATCAACGAGGGGAAAGTGTCCTTGAGATAGACGATATCTGCACCCAAGATAAAGTCAAAATTTGCAGGAAAATCCTTCTGGTCCAGACCCCATGATAAAGCACACACTCTGGTTCGAGCCATACACTTCATGGGCAGGTTCCGGTGGACATTCTCCTCTATCTGCTTCAATGCCACAGGAAGATCTGTGATGGTCACTTCACCTCCTAGAAGGAAAGGTGAAAAAACTGAGTGCCAGCTAGCTGGTAACAATTTGGTTCACATCATATGCATTATCCACAAACAACCAGGTTTTCTTAAGCATTCTGGGCCTCTAAACTTTCACACCATATATTCATGTCCCAACTACTCTGAGAACAAAGTGATGGGTCACAGAGGCAGTATTTATGCTCTCTGTTTCATCACCTTGCTATATGCTGCACCAAGAATAGCAAGCTGAGAATGCAAAAAAAGGAAGAATGCACATTTCTTGCAAAAACAGATTTTTGTACAAGTAGCAATGTGTAGGTAGCAGGAATCTTGGGAAAGCAGCTCTTTGTTCTGGGTGCTAGATTTCATGGAAACAAGTTTGAATAAGTCGTTTTAGACATCAGTATAATAGTTTATACTAAATTCATGGGATCCTCCATACCCCTCAAAACATGACTCCAATACACTTCAGGAGCATAGAGATGATCAGCATTTAACAAGGACAGTATTTCAGTCTTCGTAACAGTCAGTATGACCAGGATGAAGGATCCTTTGATCATATAAAGCCATGCCAGATACGGATTGCTGCTGGGTGATGAGGGACAATTCCAGCAGCAATTTCCACAAATAATACATCCCGCCCCTTTAGCACAATTGGTTCTACCTACCAAGAAGTGAAGCAAGTATGCCCACAATGCCTGTACCAGCACCCAACTCTATAACCTTCTTTCCTCTAAAGTTCATCTTCTGTGTCTCAAAATATTCACAGAGAGTTAGAGCCTAAGAAAGAAAGAGGAGAGAAATATAGAGAGTGAACAGAAAAGCCAAATACAATAAAAAGTCACCAAATATGTACAAGGGCCATCTCATTTCACAGCAAAAAAGGGACACTTTATTTACACCAGGCAAGTATTTCCAGAAGCTTGTGTTGCTTCATAAATTTTTATAGCATTCCACCCAAAAAGGATGCAACTTTCAATTAAAGAGATTGAATTTGGCCTCCCTGACCTTTCCTCATTTCATTGAGCCTATTTGTTAACTTGCCGTAGATTTTGGTCTTTTCCATTTAGATTAGATTCTGCTCCCTGGTCAGTTTTGGAATCTTCATTTCTGGATCCTTTTGTCATACCAAATAGATAATGTGCCCCTCCGGTTATGGCAGCCAAGTAGCTGTAGCATGTGTTCTCATGTCAATTGCAGTTTGGCATATTTTCACATGCAAAATTAACTTTATGGGGAAATCTGAATTTTAAAATGGGCAAGAAGACATTTGTTTGATGGAGTGGAATGGACAGACTGATTTTTACTTTGGACCAGCTTGTTAGACTTGGTGATAATTTGTTATGATTTTCTGCTTTCCTCGCTATATATAAATTGCCAGGTTCAGCTGCAAGACAATATATGCAGTTACAACATTTGTTAGAATCCAGGCTCCAGGTCCTGCTGCTTTTACAGCTTCAGAGCTTCCTGTGTTATTGGAAATATGGTTGAGGCTGAGTAGTCACATTGGCCTTGAATGTGTGTGTGTAAATATCTATTATCACTAGATGAATGTGATACACAAGGTCTCAACCAAGAATGAGATCATTAACTAGAGCACCCATCTTGCCGAGTCAGTGGAGAGCTTCATTAATATTTTTCAAAGGCTTATGGATCGTAGTCTATGCTGAATTCAGCCAAAAGCAATGCTTTGAGTTTAATGGATGGTGCAACATCTCTTTGAATCAGGCTTAATTAAAATGGCCAATTGTTGGAAGTATAGCTCTGCTAATGTTTCCCTTCTTCCTATGTTTTGGCAATGTCCAATAGAACGGCACCTTCCTTTGGGGTGGTAATAATTCAGATAACTCTTGTGATGGGAAGTGCTTTAATATTCAGGGACACAAATGTTCTTTTGTATTGCCTACACACCTCTTGGAATTTAACACAAGATCAACGTAAATAGATTTTCTGCACCTTTTCGACAGATAAAAGCCTAATCTTACAACACTTGAAGGCTCAGCATCCACACAGTGGATGGAGGATTTAATTAAACTTTTACTTTTCAAACAGTTGCCCTTTAGGTGTAACCTACAAATGCATAAATATACAGCTATTCAGAGTACCTTTGCTGAGGTCATGATTATTTTTAATAATGTAATCTGTTCTGTTCTATACAGGGAGATGTGTGTAGCTAGTGTTGAGGAACTTCTTGGATCTCCTTCAAAAATTGTAATGTGTCTGTTTTGTTCTCCTTTTTTCTTCTCTAAGGGTTTGGTTGTTTTTGTATTGCACAATAATAATACTAAAAGCAAAAAAGGCTCATCTGTGTCAATGTGGCCATTTTTCAAGTGCCTGTAGTGGATGTGCATGGAAGGAGGTGGGGTCTGCTGTTCTCACAACATGGATCAAAGAAAGAGCCTTCTCCTTCCCACATGCCAGCCTCCACTCAGGGCACAAGAAAGCGGTTGCCACTTTTAGAGGAACTAAGCAACCCTTTCCCCTTGTGTGTAAGGAAACAGGATTTGCAACACTGGGGGATTTTCATCACTTGCTGCATCGTGTTATTTACGTCTGGGACTGGTGGGAAGACCTGCTTTCCCCAAGAGGAAGGCTTCTGCTTGTGGCAGGTCTGTCTGCCCAGTCTTTGGGAACTCTCCTCCCTCCACCCCATGGAGCCAACTCCATTCATCCCATGGTCAGGCACTTTGCGTAGCATTTTCAGGAAGTGGTGACAGAGGAGGACGAGGAGAAAGCCCAGCAATGGAAGTGCAGCCCTTTTGCAAGCACTGTTGATCCAGCGTGAATCTGGATCCAACCCCAGGGATGGCTCTCTGGTTCTTGGACTGTAAAGCCCATCAGTCCTAGCAAGCATAGCTAATAGTAAGGAATGAGGGGCATTGTAGTTCAAGAACCTTTAGAGAACCACCAATGCCTTCTCCCTGCTTTACATCTTTTAAGCCCCTTGCATTGGAGTCCTGCTCCTCCCTGTACCGATTGATGCTCTTTCCAGGCTTGCTCAAATAGGTCCTCTTTGCTCAGGGCACCATTTGTCATTTTTTAATAGTTTAACTGTGCAAACTGAAGCTCATCCAGTTGAATATTCTCTCTTCCACCAGCCATAAATTAATAAGCCTAATGGACTGTTCCCCCTCTGAGAGGCAAATTGCTACACCGCTGCCTGGCTGTGACAATGGACTGGACAAGGGCTAAGAAACTGTAGCCCAGTCAAGACTGAGATGCTGATGGTAGGCGGTTCCTTTGACTAGATGGGAGGGTGTTCAACCTAGATGGGGTTGCTCTCCCTCTGAAGGTGCAAGTTCGTATCTTGGGAGTGCCCTGTGATCCATCTTTGTCATTTAAGGCTCAGTGGCTCAGAGTGCTTTCTACTAGCTTTGGCTCAGCTCCACCCCTGGACAGGGATAGCATGTTTCCATTAATCTATGCTCTGATAATCTCTGAACTAGATTACTGCAATGCATTCGATGTGGGGCTGTCCTTGAAGATGGTTTAAAACTGCAGCTGCTGCAGTGTGTGGCAGCCAGATTAATAACTAGGACTCATAGAACCAAACATGTAAGACCGACTCTGGCCTTCTTGCATTGGCTGCCTGTATGCTTCTGGGGCCAATTCAAGGTGCTGGCTTTAACCTGTAAAGCCTTACTTGGCTTCAGACCACAATACCTGCTGGAGCACCTCTCCCAGTCATAATCTACTCAAACACTATGTTCAGCCTCTGGGGCCTTCCTCTAAGTGCCAAGGTAGATTCGGAGGCTGGGGGAAGGGGAGAGTTTCTCTGTGGAACAATCACCCCACTGCAGCCTGTCTGGCACTAAACCTGTCATTTTTTTGGTGCCATTTTTCCTTTTATACAGTCATTTTATTGTATGTTATAGCAATTTTAAATTCATTTCAATGCTGCTTTTAATTTATATTTGTATTGTATTGATTTTATGCATTTTTGTAAACCAGCCAGAGAGCTTTGGCTGCAAGGAGATTAATAAATAAATACCTTACAAGGCACCTTATTTCAGTACAAGAGGAAAAAAAAGGTGTTATATCCAATATAGTAAGAAGAATGTGGGGGCTCTGCTTGAATTCCTGGTGAGCTGCCAGTAACCAAGAGCTGACAATGCTCCGCTAGGGCAACAAATGGTCTCACATGACAGAAGGCAGCATCCTACATTGCTCACTGCACATCCACTAGGACCTCATCATGGGCTTCAAAATCCAGATTCCTCTCTAGTGATCTCATCATAGCTCATACCTAGGGTGTAAAAAGTGAATAGGAAGGAACTACCCACAGTGTGGAAACAGCAGTGTGTCAGGTTTTCTTCATTCTGGACTTTTTTTTAGGAGAGTAAGACTTTTATTGTTACCAGATGTATACACGTTCTCAGTGGGCATCCTGAATTTGTCTCCCGTGATCTATCCCTTGCACATAATACAAGTAGGTTTTTTTAAGCAAGCCATTCAGTAAGCCACACCTTGCACAAGGTTATCCTTATATGAGTAACTTCTGCCCCCAACTTCATCCCTCTTAACACTGTTGCCTCAGATCTCCCCCCCCCACACACAAACACACTTAAATCACTGTCTTTTCATGTCTACCGCCTACAGTCTTTCCTGCATTCAGCAGTTCCTACAGGTTCTCTGTTTCCATATTACAGTGATGTTGCCACAACAGAACTGTCCTTTTATTGACCTTCAGACTTGGTGTTTGCAGATGAGTCAATTAAAGTATAAATGTGGGGGAAGAGGAGGAAAATGTGAAGGGAGGAAGTGCAGAGAGTGGAATGGGGGCTTGCTCCCCCCTCTGCAGTTTTCTCATGCTGCTGTTACATTGTTTTATTTTATTGGGTTGGGTTGTCTGCTTTCTTACATGCAGTTTTCATTATTTTGTAAGTTTCTCTGTGATACTTTGAATAGCAATATAAACATTGTATTATAAGTATTAAAATTAACTGTGTTGTAACGAATCTAAATAGTACTCAGAGTAAACTCACCAATACATATGGGACTTAAGTTAAACTAACACTGGATACAACATCCAGAAATACCGGGATTAACTTTTACAAAATGCATTAGTTCATGCAAAGACCAGCAGTTTCACAAGGAATATATGATGAAAAATACATGTTTTGCACCATTTATATGGGGTGCAAAGTATTTCCTAAGAGTGAATGATTCTTACGAAATGAAAATATCTAATCTAACATTAAAATTCCAACCATTTGCATCAGTACTAAAACTCCTTTTTTGCCGTTTGAAAAAGACTCAGTATACATATATTTTAGGGTTACCGAACTTTACCTTCCTAAAGGCGCCATCCCAAGCATATTTAGATGGGAGTCCTACAACTCCCAGCATCCCCCGGGCAGCGTGACTAAATACCCATGGGCTGTGCCGCAGGGGCCCCAATCCAGGCAAACTCCGCCGCCGCACCGGTTACCCCCCCTCTCCCCGCGCTGCCGTCCTACTCCCGGTTCGAGCCCACCCGCGCTCACCGCCTCCCAAACGGGGGCTGCCACCCCCAGCCGCGCCCCGTGATACTGGGCAATGCTCAGGTCGTGCCCGCACAGCCGGTAACGGGTCTCCGCCGGAAAGGCGTCACCAAACAGCCCGAGCTCCCGCGGAAACACCGACTCCAGCCCCACTTCCACGTCGCCTGCAGCAGTGGGCGCCGCCATCTTACCGGAAGAGGCGAGCCTTCCTCGTGTTCCATGAGGGCAGGGTGGATTGGCGGGGAAGAGGCCCTCGACGTTCCGATTGGACAGCCGCGCCGCCGCCCCTGGAGGCCATTGGGCGGGAAGGTGGCGACTGGGCCAGGTGCGGGCTCCGACTGCTCACGGGCGCTCCACGTGCTTTAGCGCTCGGCCCCTTTGATGCTTTTCTACGAACCAGGCATGTAGTATGTCTGCCTTGCACTCTGCATGCATTAATCCCTAGTAACCATAACCCTTTGTATAATTACAGTTACTTGTGAGGAAGTAACTCATTTGTAAAAGGAACTGAAAGTAACAGATACGGTTGCTTTCTTCTAACTGCTCTGAAGTTATGTAAAAGCTAAGCTAACTCCATACTAGCTTCCATTGAAACTAATGGAACAGGCTAGTCGTGGCTGAGGGTGTCCTTCTATACATCAAAGATGTAGGATCCCAACTCAGATCCATCCCCTGAGGTGCCCCAGAGGGTTGAAATGTCTTTGTAAGGCCTAGTAACTGGCAGTGCTTTAAACAAAATATGCTGGCATTTTTGGTGTTGCCCTTTTGCCCCATCCAGCACTGGAATTTGCCTCCATTGCTTTCCTGGGGCTCAAAGAGGTTCAAAGACTTTGCTATACATACAGTAGCTCAACAAGATTTATTTCTGAGTATGCATGCATATGATACCTTCCTATTGCTTTCAAAACTGCAATCTTCGTTAACTTTATTTGGAAATGGGGCTACACCAGGTGTGCGGAAGCTCTGATGGGAGAAAGTGCACTGGACACCCTCTGCTGATGAGCCTTGGTGGGAGCCAATTAACATGTTGGGTGGCCGAGGGCTGCCATTTTAATTTCCCATAATGTCCCAGACTATACCAGGGGCACTGAGAAAGTAACATGTAGACTCAAATGCCTGTTGCAGCTCAAAGCACTGGACTTGAACAACAACATTTAAAGAGGCCTCAAAGAAGTCTCAGTGTTGGGTCTAACACAACACTAGGGTCCTGTTGGCCAAAGCTGCCAGCCCTGCTTAGAAGTAAGTCTAAACAAATCCAGTAGGCCTTATTTCCAAGTATGTACATATACAAGAGCAGGCTAACTCATGTCAGTAATTTTAACTGGATTGGTGCCATAAGGTATTATGAGGTCACACATTATTGATAAAATCACTTGCATATTATTTGTTGGTATGGCAGATTGTGTGTGTGTAAAAGACATGTATGTTCCAAGTACTGCTAGGGGCCTCTATGGACAAAGTATCTCAAGACACCTGCAAGATCCATGTTGGTGAGGTTGGGCTCCTCAGCATCATAGAATTGTCCTTGGGGCAGCACTTTACATTTCCATATAGAAATTATTTTATGCGGAATAAAGTAAAATGCAGCCAGTTAAATGCCCCAGCTGAACAAAGCCACCAAGCCTGCTTTGCATGGCCCCATGCTGCACACAGCCAATGGTGAGAGCTGGTGGGAGTTGAGCACCAAACACTGGGAGGGCCACCATCTGCCCCTGGCTGTGCTGCAGCGTGACTTGTTTCCCTGCTGCCATTTTTGCAAGTGAGGCAATGTTGGCAGAGGTGGGGTTTGAGCAGGCACATGTTGCTAGTCCCTGCTGCACATGGCCTGACCTGGCTCTTCAGGCTTTTGGACAGGGGTATTTCCCAGCCCTTCTTGAAGCCAGAGCTCTAACCTGGCCCCCTGTTGCACAGAAAGCAGGTGGGCCACAAGCTGTTCCCCCAGAGTGAGGATTTATCAGTGCCACATAGACCAAAGTGAGAGTGTGTAGGACTGCAGCCTTTCTCTTTATGTCTCCCATACAGAACACACACATATATCATTGCAGAACAAAATCGTACGCTTTCTTCTTCGGAATTATTGTTTCCACTTATATGCACATTTTACCAACTTAATAGGTTCACCTGTGATCCTACTTTAAACATACTAAACAACCTATATTAAGTTCTGGCTGTTCCACATGAAATTTCTGGCTCCAGGCCTGCTTAGAGTCCCTGCTACTTGTAAACCCTTTCTCGCTATCGTCATTCCACGCGTTGGATTAGTAAAACAATAACGCCTTTACTTGCTGATTTATGAGCCATTTCCCCCCAGGATCTGAAGGGCATCCCCCTGTCCCCTCACCCGTTGCAGCCGGCTTCACAGGGCTGGGGATCAAAGGCAGGGAAAGGAAGTTAGTTCTGCATTCACAGAAGGAGCGTGAGGTCACCAGCAGACTGTCTGCTGAGCCTTGGGAGTAGCGTCCCCCTTGACGCACTTCACGGTTAAATGTTAGCTTGGCACGGCTTCCCGAGGGAGAGGGCACCACTTGTTTGGGTGATCTCGTTAGGGCACTTAACGGAAACCAGGGTCGGGTTAACGATTAGTAGGCCCATCAAACGCTTGTTACCTCTTCCCATGATTTTTGTGGAATTTCTCAGTGATTCCATGGGGCAGGTTGTTATTGCCAGTTTTAAAAAATGATTGCCCTCAACTTTTGGCAGGAGAAAATGGGTTTGTTTTTATTTGGATTTGGTGTTACAGTTTTGATTCTGTGCTAGGCTGTGCATTTCTGGAAAACAAAGTATTCTTGTAGCTCTCCCCTTTCTCTTTAGGAGGAAAAGGGCATTTCTCCAGAGAAGAAGGGAAATAATGAGCATTTCAATATAGAATCATTATGATTAATACAGAGGCTAAGGACACAGGCTAATTGGAATGTCATAACGTCTGAATTCAGGGGATTATCGGCATCCAGTGCAGGGCAGAAGGGCAGAGGCAGCCTTCACACCTGTCCTCCCGCTGGCCCGCAGAATGCTTTCATAGCCGATTTTGGCTAAATGTGACATCTCCAAAGAAGGAGAGTGAAGCATGATCAAGATGCAATGTATCTTGGTGGTGGTGGTCTCCTCCCCTCCATGAATTCAGAAGACTTTCTTCTGAGATGATTTTGCAGTATGAACTGCCTGATCCTGCCTAATCTTGAAAGCTAAGCAAGGTCGGGGCTGGTTGAAATCTGGATGGGTGACCTAATGCTGTGAACCACCTATAGAGCTTTGGCTATGGGTGGTATCGAAATGTAATAAATAATAATAACGATTGAAATGTAGCTAACATGGTTCTTTCTGCACTGGCCATGAGATGGGGGAAGGAGAGGGAAGCACCAATGCTCAGTGCTGAGGTTGGAGAGCTTTTCCAACCTTGTAGCTGGGGATCCAAGTGGTCCTGGGCCATCTGGACACTGTCTAGGATTGCTCATAAATTTTTCAGCCTATAATGACCATGCTGATAATCTGTGCTACAACTAGTTATAGAAGATAGCTAACCAGGGGTTTGCTGATACTGCAGTCTAAAAACCTGTTGAGGACAAAAACAGACCCCCTTTTTCGTTGTCTGACCAGGGGGACAGGCAACACCAGCAAGCCATTTTGTATATAAAAAGATTCTTTATTATAGTGAGCCTTCCTCCAGTTGGGACCAGCTGCCACAGTCATTGTGCACAGCCAATTTATACGTTTAGCTTTTTGCATTGATTAGTAACCAAAAATGGCATAGCAGGAAACATTATTCAATGAAAGTAGGACACACCCATCAAAAAGGGAAACATAAAAATTAGGGAACTTTCCGTCACATTTTGTACATGGTTATCTTCACCCACATCGCCCCTTAGGACAATCTGCTCCTCCCCCACAAAAAATGTTCCCAGGCTTATCTTTACAAATTCTGACCTTCTTGATCAAGCTTATTTCATATTTTGACCCTCTTGTGTCCTTCTGATAGAACTTCAACTAACTGACTCTTGGTGTGTGGCCATCAGGAAAAAAAAGTATTCTTCAAACCCAAAGCAAGAAAGATACATAGCAACCACATGCAAGGAAGGGAAAATTGACAAAATGAAGGCTAAATATAATAGGAAATAAGTAGCAGTTTAACAGACAGTTAAGAACCGATTGTATATGTAGACAGCAATCTTATGTTGTGTCAGCAGCATCTAGGGGCCCACAAAGTAGGTTGATTCCTCTGGTCTGAGGTTGGAAACAGCCCTTGGCTTGGAGCTTCAATCCACCTCTCCCTTTTCAGGCAGTGGGAAAGAACTGAACCAGCTGCTTATCCTTAGTCAGAAAACTGACATCAGAGATTCAGCGAGAGGAGAGAACTGGGGCTCTCGGGAGGTGAGGCATCTGGGCAGCCCTCCACCCCACACTGCCTTCCCTCCTCCCCACACTGAAGTGGCACACCTGGAGGGCCAAAATCAGTTCCCTAGCAGAGTTGCAGAAAGGAAGAGGTGGAGATCACCTTCACTCTTCCTCCTACTCTACACTGGATGATCATAGGTCCCCAAATTTCGAGGCTTACAAGTGTCAGGGAGACAGGCCAAAAGTTTTTGCTCTTTTTTTAAAATAGCTGAAATAGGTTTGTAGTCTGTATTGCCCTGTGCCAAGATAAAGGACTCCCTCTTGCCTTCGAGTCAGCTTCACAAATTTAACAGCGTGGCATGTCCCAAAACAACCTGTTCTTGCCAATAAAAAGAAGATTTCACTGAAACAGGAGTTATCTCTGGCACCGAGAGTATAGGGAGTGAGGTACCAAGTTATCAGCTGCAGTGGGGAGCCCGGAAGCAGCTGAGCCAGATGTGCTGCCATCGCGCGCTGGGCAATGTCCATTTGCCTGGCCGTGGTCACGGCTGTGTTCCCTCACTTCCGCTAACAGCAGTGGGTTTAATCTGGGTTTGGTTCAGAGCCCCTGGAGACCAGGGCGGCAGATGAAGTAAAAACGGACAGGGGCAAAGCACTGAGCCAGGAGGGCGTTTGACGCTTGAGACTGTGCAGTGACTTTTTTAGAACTAGTTTGAAGCACCTGGTTCAAACCCAGGTCTGATGCTCATTGTCGTTTGGGGCAAGTCATTGATTACATCCATAGTGGTCAGGAGCAGAACAATCCTAAATATGTGGGGGAGCAAAGCAGTGAATTGTCCTGAACTTCAAAAGATCTG